TTATAATATTAGTAGCCAGACATTCTAATGTTGTTTTTTCGGGTAAAATTTTTATCCAAGTAAAAAAAATTATGTGGATTTTTTTTACCTGGCTACCTGAATGTGGCTAGTAATCATTATTATTATACACAACAACTGATGATGATCATGATCATGATTCAGATAAACGAGAAACGAACGATGATGATGATGATGATGATGATCAACGCAGACCACCACCAATGATCAATGATTTTCTTTTTTTTTTTTCTCTCTCTCTCTCTCTGTGTTCATTCAAACTGGATGAAGGAATGTTTGATTCATTTTTTGTTGTTGTTGTTGTTCTTCAGCAGGAACAATAAATAATAAAATGAAATGAAATGGAAATTTATCTATCAATCAATCAATAAATAATCTATTTGTTGAAAACAATTGCTGTTTCCTGTTTGTTTGTTTTTTTTCATATATTTGGCAAGAGCATCAATCATTTATTTCGATTTTTTTTTGAAAGGTGAAAGTGATTTTTTTGTCGGGTATATAATAGATGCGAACAAAAAAAATCCTTGAAACAACGAACCAGACACAAGTCAAGTTATGTAATCGGCATCATCGATAGAGAAAACATCTTTTTTTTTTAGAGACAGGAATGCTTATGATGATGAAGATTTAAATGTTGATAGAATGAACAAAAATAATTGAACAACAACATTATCAAATTCGTATACAGGGTGAGTGGTATGTTAATTGTATATCATGTAGTTAGCATTATCATCGTGAATGATATCTTGTATTTTTTTTTCAACATTTGTTTGTTTGTTTGAACATCTTATTTTTCGGCTGTTGTTATTGAATTGATAGTAATGATGATGATTGGTCATTATTATCATCATGCTGTGAGAAATCAGACTTTGGCCAATGATTGAACATTGATTGAGATAATTTTGATTAAAAAAAACTTCAAAGAAAAGTTTTGGGTGATCAAAATTTCGAAATGATTTTCGAAAAGAGCTGCTGTTTCTTGTTGTAGCATGACCGATACGTTTTTTTTCCACCAAAATTCTTTGAAGTTTTTTTTTCATACATGAAATGTATGTTTTTTTTTAGTATTTTAATTAGATCATCACTTTTCGGTGAACAATAACACATCCTGAATTAGTGGTGGTAAAATCACGACACATACACAGCTTCTATTTTTTTCAATTGTGTAATTTCATCTTTTAGATGACACGGATCTTGTAATGATTTATTTCGTTTTTTTTTCACAAATTTCGAAAATTCAGAAATCATTATCATAGAAACAAAAATTGTCAATTCGATTTTCGAAAAAAAAAATTTCCGTTTGACTGACTTTCATTTCGTTCAATATTCATTACAAAAAAAAAAAAATATCCACATTGTTCTTGATCAAAATGAGCAAAAAAAAAATGAACACGTACATATAGTACGTGAAACACGAAAAAATTGATTTTTTTTTTTGGTTTCAAACGGAAATAGCTAAAATTATAGATTATCATCATTATATGATCATGAAACCATTGTGATGATGATCATTTTTCAAGGTCCAATGATTCAACATATTTTACCATGGATTTGGGTTTCTTTTCTCTATCTCAAATTTCAAAAAAAAATTGTGCTAAACTTATGGATCAATAATAATTTAGAAATAGAGAAAAACACACGAAGATCATCATCATCATCATCATCATAATCATCATCTATCTAACGATGAAATCGTAATAAAAAGATCATCATTTCAAATCGAAATATTGTATTCATTGTAATAATATTGTGAGGAGGGTCATCTTCGTCGTCGTCGTTGTTTGAAATTAAAATCGACATGAAAAAAATGCTTTCCACGATGATGATGATGATGATGATTATCTTTGTCGCTTCAAACATAGACCAAAAACACGGCAGCCCTGCTTATTTTGGCTGCGAAATATCTGGCAAAAAAAAAAGAAAACATTCAACAGACCAAACCGAACCGAGCGAACATTTTTTTCTACCTGATGATAATGACTTTAAATCGTAATGATATGATTCGATGTTCATTTCTTCTTTTTTCTTCGTTTCGTTTACGATTCAAATTCGTGTGTTTTTTCTCTAGTTGCAGTTGTTGTTATTATTGTTATTATTATTATTATTGTTGTTGTTGTTGTTGTTGTTGTTGATATTGGTAATATGAGATATTGCCATTCATTCTCTCTCTCTCTCTCTCTCTCTCTCTCTCTCTCTATTCCTCTGGGTTCGATGTTCTTGGTTTCATGGTTTTTCATTCTTTTTTTTTCTCTCTCTCTCATCCACTTTTTTTTTAAAAACTCAAGATAAAAAACTTTTCAACTAACGATGATGAGTTTCTATTCTTTTGATTTGTTTTCAGAATTTCATCAACCGAGGTTTGTTTGTGTCGGTGTTATTTGCTTCTACCATCATCATCATCATAAGAAACTAGTAAGAAATGAGAAAAGAAAAAAGACTTGGTTGGTTAGTTCGTTGTATCCATACAAACCTATCATTATTTTCCTATTATTATCTTACTGAGTATTTTCATTTCAAACATTTTTTTCCCAATTCGTTCATCATCATCATCCGATATTGACGATGTAGAATAGGAACAAACACACACACACACATACACAATTCAGTTGTTGGAAATCGATGATTCACATATAAAAAAAAATCATAAGAAATGAAATGAAATGGAATCATATTTGTGTGAAATAGCAACAGCAACAAAGGGAAAATAATTTTTTTCCAAAAGGGGAAATAATTTTTTGCACATCTTTATTCTCTTCCTGTTTTTTATTTAGGATGTTTTTCTTTCTATAAATGAAAATAATGAAAAACAGATACCAGATATATTGTGTTTCCATGAATTGATGATGATGATGAATGACTTATCGTGAAGACAATAAATACCCTCCTTGACAATAATAATAAAATTTACAGAACGTGAACATTGTGGATGAGATGGACTATTCAGTTATTGAAATTGAAAACAAAAAAAAAAAAAAAAAAACAAAACCAAATGAAAGAATAAAAAGAAAAAAATTCCAATCAAGTATCATCATATATAATGGACAACAGCAACAAAAAAGACAAAGCAGATAGTAAAAACCAAAGATGAAACTATTAGAATCAAAAAACAAATGTAATGGTCACGCAAAAAAATCATTCCGTTGTTTTCACGAAATCATAGGAAACAAATTTCATCGCATTTTTTGTTTTGTTTTGTTCTGTCCCTATCCATCATCATCATCATCGTCATCTTTTGAACATAATGAAAACGCAATTTACCAGATAAAAAAAATGAAGAAAGACAATCTTTATTCATAACCTCGAAAATTTTTTTTTTCATTAAAAAGAATTGAATTTGTCTTATTTGAATTCACTCTCACTCATCATCAGTGGTCATTTTGGTGTTTGTCCAAAATCATGATAATTGAAAATGATAATCATCACTGATGATATGATGATAATTCAGTAGGTATGGATTTCAATTTTCGTTTATTAAAAAAAAAAAAAAAAATTCCTTATCAATTGTGGTTATTGTCAATCATCGTTTTTTTCCATCTTTATCATTGTCCTTGGCACAAAAAATTTTTGAATAACCAAAAACAAAACAAAACAAAACAAAAAAATATCCATATAGATGTAATGACAAATAATGATTGTCGAAAGATTTCAATATTTAACCACAAATGGTTATATGATTGATTGATTCATTCAATGATGAACAATCACCATCTGTCAATTATGAGTATAATATTGAATATAATTTTTCATGAGTCAATCATCATCAACTACATCAAATTAGCATCAAATTAAAATTCCATAAAGGGGCATTGTACATATAATGAATGGATGGATGGATGAATGAATGAATGAATGATTGCAATGACAATATGAAATCAAACAAACAAACAAAACACAAAAAAAATAGATGGGTCGAATATATGAAGAATCTTTATTATTGTTTCGAAGAAGCATTTTTTTAATAATGATTTAGATAAGGCTGATGATGATAATCATGTGAACCAAATATTAAAAAAAAAACGATATGAAACAAGAGATGATGATGATGATCACATCGTAAAAAGAAGATATAAAAACGACTTTTTTGTTTATTTTTATTATTATTATTATCATTTCATTTCATTTTTTGATTTGATGCAAGAAAATGGAAAAAAAATCGTCACAATAATAAAGAATGAATGAAAGAAAAAAAAACTAAAAATAATGATTGTGATGATAAAAAAAAAAAAACATTACAAAACATTCATCCATGCCATATATACATCAGGTAGGTAGGTAGGTAGTAACAAAACAAATAACAAAACAAAATTTTTTTTCTCTCTCTTCTCATCTCATCTCATCTTGATGATTGTTTTGTCTCTGTTTAGCATTTGTGATGATATTATAATAAACAAATTTATGATGATGATGATGATGAACAACAACAACATCATCATCGTCGTATCCATCGGGTTAATAGGGATGATTGACTTTTCTTTTTTTTCATATTGACAAACTAATTTCCATAATGAACAACAACAACAACAACAACAACAACAGAAAATTGATGACTAAGAATGATTTTTGTTTTGTTTTGTTCATTCGATTCAGATCACCAAAAAAAAAATTGTTTATGGATCGTGTGTGGGCCTGATGATGAAGAAATGATGACCTTGTATCGAATCGGTCAATTTTCCCCCCACCTATATTCGTAAACAACAATAAAATGAAATCGATTGGAAATGAAAAAAAAATCAAATCAAATCAAAATACAAGAATCAAAACAAAATGAAAGTTGCTCAGATACAATAATCGAATGGAATATCAAAAAGAGAAAAAACAATGATTGAACAACCGAATGGGTTAAAAAAAAAAGTCTGGACAATATAAGAAATATTATTATCAAAAAACAAAAATCAATTGCGTGCCTCATCATTCGTCGTCGTCATTATTGTCGGAATCAAGTTTCGCGCTTCAATCAAAACATCGACAACAACAACAACAACAACAAATGTTCCCAATTCTTAGTCAATCAACAAAAAGAAAAAAACATCTTTTGTCCAAAACGATTATTTTATCCATAGAGCTAGAGAAAAAAAAACGGCAGCGAGATGACCTCGAGATGACCAACCAACCAACCAACCAACCAACAACAACCTGTGAGAATTCAAAAAAAAAAAAGTTTATTTTTCAAAATTGAAATGATAATAAAAAAAATTTGTTGCATACCAGAATTCCTTCCAAATGTGTGTGTGTGTATGATATTTTCTTCTTCCACTTTTTATTTTCGTTTTTATGATGCCATATTTCATATTTTATCGTTGCTTCTCGTTGTTGTTGTTGTTGTTTTTTGCTGTTGTTGTTGTTGTTGTTATTGTTCACTGGCGTTATTATTATTATTATTATGATGATCATTATCTCATTTTCAGATATTTTTTTTGCATGTTTTTCTTTTCTACCAGCTGTATACCAGTCCAAAATGAAATGGTCCAATGTGTTGCACACATTTATGATGATGATGATGATTATTACCATTTTCACAACGAAAAAAAAAAAAAAAATTTCCTTTTGTGCCACTGTCTGGTGGATGTGTTTATTGTTTCGTTATTATTAAAACGTTTTTTTTTTCTGCTACTGTATGTTGTATAGTCATAGTCATCGTTGTCGATATTGTTGTTATTATTATTGCTGCTTGTGATCTTTATCCACATTTATCGTTTTTTATCGGTTCAATTTGTTTTCATATATATGATGATGATGATGATCAACATTCGATTTGATTTTAGAGCCAAAAAAAAATCATTGTTGCTGATCGGAAAAAATTTGACCAAAAAAAAAGATCAGACACCACCTGTGTGTGTGTGTGTGTGTGTGTGTATTCAAGCTGAAAACCAAAATTTTAAGTGGTTATGACTAGTACATTATGATCATTTATTGACAGAGGTGAAAGTCTTGCTTGTTCACGGTGTCAAGTGGTTTGACAAACATTTATCATCATCATCATCATCGTCAATGGAATATATTTGGATGATGATATGATTTTCCCATCGATGAAATTATGATTATCGAAAGCGAATACACAAACAATATATATAATGTGTAGAAACAAATTAGCTATAATGTGGAAAAGTTCAAGGTTCAAAATTATAACCATCATCGAACACAATATATATGGTACTTGACATTTTTGGTTCAAATAATTCGGGTAAAAACACTTGATGAAAATGGTCCCGGAGAAAAGGAAAGAAAAACGGAAATTGAATTATTATTAATACACTACAAATTATTATTTTGTTGTTGTTGTTGTTGTTGTTGGGTCAACGTGTTTTCACAAACGCTTGGCCTTGAATTCTTTCCTGTTTTCAGCAAAACAGAAAATAGCCAACCGAAATCATCAAGATCATAATGATGATGAGTTTGCCATATATCCATATGGTGGCCACACCTGTACACACGGCTATTTTCCTCTTGAAGAAAAAAACTATTCGATATCCATATTGCTGATGATAATGATGATGATGATGATGATATTGCAAATTAAAATTCAATTTGTCTTCATTATATTCGATAAATATCGTTGCAGCAATGTTTTATCATCAAAGTTTCTCATCTATGTTGGTTATGGAAATGAGAAAAAACAAAACAACAACAAAAAATTCAAATTAGATCAGAGTGAAACTTGTTGTTTCGGTCAAGAAACTTTATGAAATTTTCAGTTCTATGTGATTATATTCTGACCACATAAATAATGTGGGTGTGTGAAATGATGACGATAATAAATTGTTTGTGTGGGCGTTGTCCGTATTCATTATTGAATCGATGCTTTTGCCCACAAAATGATGATGATGATGATAGCGAAAAAAAACCACTTAGCGCTTTTGTAGTTTTTTGTTTTGAATTTTCACTTTTTTTTACAGGAAAAAAACCAACCAACCAAAAATCAATCCAAAAAGAGTTTCAAGTGTCCATTATTCTCTTTCTCTCTCTTTTGATAGTGATCATTTTACCGTCGTAGACGACCATGGGCAATATAATAATAATATGCCGACAAAGACAACATAATATGCCGCCGGTTTTATCATCTTTGTCGAATTCTCACACACACACACACTGGACGAACCAAAAAAAAGAACCCGAAAAAAATGACCCAAACGAATTGGTATATGAATCTCTTTGGTCTTGGTGTTTGTTTGTTTGTTTGTTCAACTTATTACACGGGATATAATAACAATATATAAGTGTTACTGGTTGGTTATGGTGTTGATGGTTGTTCATCTTATATATATATAATCATCAATCCATCTGGGTAGTATATATGCCATTTATTTGTTTTTTTTTTCGTACCAAAAGACAATATTGGAATATTTTTTTTTTTTTAAAAAACTTCAATATTTTTCCATTCGATGACAATTGTTCTTTGTACTTTTTCCGTCAATATTACTGTACAGTACAGTAGAGTAGAGTAGAGTATGTTTTTTTTCTTCTTCTTCTTCTTCTTCATCTTACCCGATAATGTACCTTCATTATGTTGACTATAGATGGTACACAAACAAAATGAAAATAAATATATTGAAAAGTGAATTTAAATAATAACAACTCAAATAGTAATAAAAACTGATCTAATTTGTCGCAAAATTCACAAACAACCCTTTGATCTTTGTTTACTTACTTTGTCCCGAAAACAAGAATACACCAATATACACGCGAACATTGAATGTGAATCAATCAGAAACAGAGTATTGACAATGACAGTGAAAACAAAAATCAAACGAAATCTTTTTTGTTTTGTCCTACTTTTAATCTAATGTTGACATCTTGATTTTTTTTCACATTTTTGATTCGTTTCTAAAAACAAAACCAATTTTGAGATGAATAACAACAACAACAACAACAACAATAAATTGAGCCGAAATTCCATAGAATGTCGATTTTGAATTGCTTTTTCGGTTGTTGTTGTTTTTTTTTTGTGCTCTCGTTTTGGCACTTGACTTTGAAATTTATTCATTCCTCCGGGCATTTATTAAAAGGTAGAGATACCTAATGGAGAGACCAAGAGAAGTTTGTTTGTTTGTTTGTTTGTTTGCTGTTGTTTTCTATATATCGTTCACTAAATTTTTTCCAATTGAAATACAAATTTTTTTCTGATTCTTAATCAAAAAAAAAAAAAAAAAATTATAATCAACATTTTCCAATGGGTAAATTTTGATTGTTTAAATCGCCAATAACCAGAGTAAAAACAATCATCTATGAATGACATTTCGAATATATTATGACTAATAATAATTATGATTATGATGATCAGAATCATTCGATGATTGATTTGTATATGCCTAAAATGTGTGATCATGATCGAAAGACTTGTTGAAAGACATCTGTCGATTTTTTTTTGGATGGAAAACATTTGTTTTGATTTTTCTGGAGCTGTGTAGTAAAAAAACAGGGTAACTCATCATCATTATTATGATTATCGTGTGTGTTTTATTTTTTTTTATGATGATCGTCATTTTGGTTTGTTTGTCCATTTAATAACAATCATTATCGTCATCATCATCATCATCATCATCAACGAACACATATCATTAGCAGCTGCATATCATTTTCGTAACAACAATCACAAAACAGCAGGGTTCTCTATCAATTTCAAAGATTTTAGCCATGATGATGATTAAAAAATTAATCGGTTTCCAATTTTTTCATAGAGCAAATACTGCCATCTAGTTTCAAAAGCTAGAAATAAAAAATTGTCTATTTTAACTTATTGTGCTCTGTAAAATATAAATAGTGTAGTGTATTTTTCAAAAATTGAATTGAAACTGTGAAAAACACGTTTTTCTAGTTCCGTGCGATAGTTTATTTCACAGAAAAAGTTTGTAATTTGATTTAATGTAATTTTGTTTCGTTTGTAACCAACATTCGGTAAGAAATAATTATTAATATTTGTATCAAAATAGACGAGAATAACACATAATTTTCACATATAAAAATATCGTGCTTTATTATTATTTTAAATTTGCTTTTATAATAATTTCAATTCATAATTTGTTTTGATTTAACAATCGTATGTACAAATCTAGTTTCAAAAGCAAGAAATAAAAAATTTTAACTCATTATGCTCTGTAAAATAAAGATAGTTTGATCTGTTGCTTGACGGTTTTTTTTCGTTCCACCACTCAATTGTTATTGTTTCAAGCGACAAAATTTAAATTTCGAAAATAAAACAATGTCTCAATCAGAAAACAACATGAGCGGTTCAGAAGTCCAACAACAACAACAACAATCTTTACAATCTTCTATGGGTGATGAAGAATTGCGTAATTCGTCCATACTTACGAATACACGTTCATCAGGCTCATTATATTCATCAAAAACTATGCTTTCAAGCAATGAAGGGACTGTAATACACAATAAAACAATGGCCGATGATTGTTCAACGATGGCTGATGAAAAACCAACATCATTTAATTTAGTATTAAATTTAAAAAAATTTTAAAATGTAAGCTTTTCTATATATAGAATATATTCATAATGAGTTTCGAGAGTGTGTATCTGTGCACAATGGCCGATGATTGTGGGTTAAAACAGCCAAGACTGAAAATCGCAAAAAAAAACAAAAACAGCAAAATAAATTGGAGCAAAAAAAGAGAAAAATGAAAATATTTTTATAACCTAAAAATTTAGCATCACCACTAGCATCTATTCCTGAAAATCAAACAGCATCATCATCAAGATCCAATTTAGACGAAATTCTCATTGATGATTCATACTCATTTTCACCTTCATTTAAAAACTTTCCAGCATCATCATCAAGATCCTGTTATGAAGAAATTCAACAAGAATTTGTGAATGACGAATTTAAGAAGAATTTACCAATGTTTTATGATGATAATAAGATTTTACGATGTCAAAGTCGTTTTGATAATGATTTTACATATGATGAAAAGTATCTTATTGTTTTACCAAAAAGTCCATTTACGATTTCTTTCCTGAATTATCTCCATGAACAAGACGAACATGGTTCAGTTAATTTTTCATTATCAAGTATACGAACGAAATACTTTCTGCCTAAAGCAATACAAATGTTGATCCAAATCGCAAATACGTAAGACCGGCGCAAAAATTGGCCCCATTGGAGAGGGGAGGAATGGACATAAAAAATGACAACCGTCACAGTCGAGATTAAGGTTCACTCGTCATTGTTATCACCATCATCATCATGTGCATAGTCATCATTGAGCATGTGCTTTCGCGCCGTTTTTTCATGGTCGCTGTTTGAGCAGCAGACATCGATATCATCATCATCGACATATCAATCAGTACACATCTTCGATTATTATTATTGTCATTATGATCATCATCAGCATCAACATCGCAAAATGAATTGGTTGATACTTTCTTTATTATTGTGATTATCATCGTGATATTGTTATGTTTACGTTTTCTAATCAATTATTTATTTTCTTGTATTAAATTATACTCAATAAAATCAAAGTTTATTTCAAACCGGCCAGTGATACGAAGTTTTTTGTCTAGTTGAATCCAGTAACGCGTACGTTGATTACGTCGACATCTCAGCATCGCGTATAAGACCAGTGCCATCTGATCCTCATCCTAATCGCCAGATAAAGCCAATAATGTTAAATTATCCATTGATATTAATCAAGCAAAAGTTTTTATAATAAAACATTATCAAAGCTACATCATACGGAGTCCGCTTTTTCAAAAACTTTTTACCGATAGATGGCGCTGAAAGCATTCTCAAAAAGCACTGCTCAAAGGCATTCCCTAAAATAAAATTTATTTATTTATTAACCAGCCTGGTACAGACGCTTCGCGCCAGTCCAAACTGGCCCTGCGGGGCTGACTAATTGACGGTCATCTATTTGATACAAAAGCTGCATCAACGCGCGAAGCTAAAACAATTTAAAAAAAGCATTATCAAAGCTACATCATACGGAGTGCGCTTTTTCAGAAACTTTCTGCCACTAGATGGCGCTGAAAGCATTCCCTACTGTTGGATGTATACACACAGACACTAATCCGCTTACTCTTTTATATAAAGTATGATGATGATGATGATGATATATATATAGTATGATGTTGATAAATAAAATTTCGTTTGTTCGACTATATATACTCAAATAGTCACAAAGAAATAGCCGAAATACTGAGTACAAAAATCCGTGAGTCACACTGTCACACTTTATTTTACTGTGAATTCAACGATGGCCGATAAAAATCAACAAGATAAAAAACCAGCATCATTTTATTTAACATTGAATTTTCTGAATAGTATTCAGTTTAAATCAATGCTTTATGAAAAAGAATTGAAATCAATTGAAAATTTTGATCTCAATATTGGTGATATATTGAAATCGAGCCGCCACCAGGATGATGATGATGATTATAATGACTTTGTAACGAAAACGATAGCTAAATCACGCGAATCGCTCAAAAAAGAATCATTATTATCGACAGTCGAATATCGACGTTGGGTTAACACAATGGAATCAGTTGAAGAATATATGGAAAATTTTGCCGAATTTATTGACGATGAGTGTAAAAACTTGACAACAGAAGATCTGAACAAATGTCCATATTAATATTCATAAAAAAAATTTCATTTAAACAAAAAAAATCTTTGTAATAATAAATAAAAAATTCTTTCAATTTCAACCATTCTTTTTTTCCGAGCATGCGTCTATTTTGATCCGACTCATAGTTATGAGTTGTCTGTTTTATTCATGCGATCATCAAATATCTTATTATTTTTACCGGATTATCCATTTATTGATGCTTGATTGATTTGCTCAAAAATGAAAATAATAAAATTTCTGTAAGAAAAAATATTTCTTGATTAGCTTTCGAATTTGCCATTCAACTCAGAAAATATGATGATGATGCAATCAACGAATAAACGTCAACGAAAATCAAAAAATCAGCCACCACCACCGAAAATACTGGAAAAATTAAAACGAAATCATCATCATCAAAGTCATCATGAATCGTTGCCATCATCATCATCTTTTTTCTATACGAAAAATTCATTATTTTTTCATCTAATAATATTCATACTAAGTATTTGTATTGGATTTTTTGGCTTCTCATTTTTTATCATCAATCCAAATACTAGACAATCAACGTTTATACCATTCGATTCGAATCAGACATTTCCAGTCTATGATATATTTCCATCTTCGTATTCGAACAATCCATATTGGAGTAGTCTGATTCCAGGTCATTATTTTGCCTTACGATCTTCAAGACCCAATTCAACATTGGTTAGTTTAATGTGGTTTCGACAGAAACTCAGCCAAAATGATGGTGGTCTACCCATACGACATCTTTGTCGACAAGATGATAAACTAAATACATATTATTGGAATTATAATGATTTACATAGTTTTGGTCATCAAACTTTAATCGATAACAATCTACATATAAATACTAGTTTTATTCGATTGAATGATGCTATTGTTTCACGAATAACAATCATCGATGCATTTCGAACCAAAGAATTGAATTCAATTATTCTATATGTGGCTGCCGAAAACAGCAACGACGACAATCTAACTTTGTTTCAAGATGATCATAATCGTATATGGATTAAAGTTCAGAGCATTCAATCGGAAAATTATCATCTAAATTTTCGTATAAATAAAGGTGATCAAATTCTACAAAGTTTTCTAACAACAAATTCTTCATTAGATCGTTTGGAACAAACAGTAAAATCACATTTATTTTTCTACAAACATGATGGCCATACACTATTTGTTATATCAAATTCTGAACAGGAAAATACTATGTATCGATCCAATTTCATAGCATATCAAGTAATTTTCAATCAATCAATCGAAATTGACATATCAATGTTTTTCAATGATACAACTGAAAGCCTGATGTCCATCGATGATTTTGATTATGATAATGAAATGAATAAACATCAACAAAAGTTCCAAGTTGATTTTAATCAAAAATTTCATTTTGGTCATCAAATTTCAGCGGAAAAAATTCACTTTGCTCGTACAATATTGAGTAATGCAATCGGCAGTATTGGCTATTATTATGGATATTCATTGGTCGATTCGGAACAATTTCCAATAGCTCAACCATATGGACCGATTCAATTGTTGGCTGTTGCACCATCTAGATCGGTATTTCCACGTGGATTTCTGTGGGATGAAGGATTTCAACAATTATTGATTAGCCGTTGGGATCCAAAACTTTCAATGGCCATCATAAAAAGCTGGTTTTCATTGATGAATGAAAATGGATGGATACCACGTGAAGTGATACTTGGTGATGAGGCCATATCACGTGTGCCAAATGAATATCTTGTTCAACATTCTTCCAATGCAAATCCACCATCATTACTTCTTTCCATTGAATCATTAATCGATAGACAACAATTTGATCGTGAATGGCTTAAAGAAATTTATCCACGATTATTTCGTTGGTATCAATGGTTCAATACCACACAGACTGGTTCTCAAAAATTTCCATTTACATTCCGATGGCGTGGTCGTAATTCGACAACAAAATTGGAACTTAATCCAAAAACATTGGCTTCCGGTCTAGATGATTATCCACGTGCTACACATCCTAATGATGATGAAATTCATATTGATCTTCGTTGTTGGATGGCATTAGCATCGCGATTAATGTCGAAAATTAGTAAAGTTCTTGAAATCGATGATAAATTTGAAGAATATTATCGAATTCTTAGTGATAATAATTTACTTGAACAATTACATTGGTCGGATAAATATCAAATGTTTTGTGATAAAGGATTACATTCGACAAATATTAGTCTTAAAAAAATTCATAGTGGTAATAATGATGATGATCGTTCTTCGTGGGTCTTCGAACGACAAGTACTTACACCACCTCATTATGAATGTGTTGATGAATTTGGTTACATAAGTCTTTTTCCATTCATTATGACATTGCTTCGTCCAGATAATTCAAAATTGGAAACAATTCTAACAAATATAGAGAATCCAGAAATTCTTTGGACACCATATGGACTTCGTTCATTATCACAAAAAAGTTCATATTATAAAAAATATAACACTGAACATGATCCACCATATTGGCGTGGATCAATATGGATCAATATGAATTATCTAGTGTTGAAAGCATTGAATCATTATTCAAAAATATCTGGACCATATCAAACACAAGCAAGACAAATACATTCACGTTTGAAAGCTAATCTAGTCCAAGCTATTCATACGGAATTTATTCGTACCGGTTATGTTTGGGAACAATATCAAGATGATAATGGCCATGGACGTGGTGCACATCCATTCACCGGTTGGACATCATTAATTGTATTGATTATGGCCGATGATTGATGATCTCAAATTTCCCGCCCTCTTTTAAAATTTTTCCTCTGTCAACAAAAAAATGTCTTCTGCAATTCTGTTTTGTATATTAAAATTGAAAAAAAAATTTTATTAATAAAATAAAAAATCATTGATTTTTGATCGTTTCAAACAAACAAACAAAAAAAATTATTTTACAAATCACAACCATTATTTTAATCATGAACAAGAAATTGTGCAATAAAATTAGCTATACCCAATATTATCAACGAGAATAAACATCCCTTTAGGAATGGATGTAATGGTTTTTCAATCACATTTCTAGCCTTTATAAATGTCATTGTTGGCAATATGAATATCAATATCATACCAGAAAATGATCCACAATAACGAATAATTGTACCGATTTGTGGATAAAATTCGGCAAACATACAACCAATTGTCAAAAGACAAACATTAATGATAATGGTACGTGTGAATGGATAACTTATTCGTCCAGTATTCGGATCTTTGAATAATTGTAAAACCTGAACACGAAACATGTAGACCAACAAAGGAAATAGGCTTAAAACTTGAAGTAGTAAAAATAATCGAGTAATAAAAGCGAATAAATCATTTGATTCGAAATTGTCAAGAAAATTATCTTTGATACATTGTTTCGATAAAGGAAAGCTTATATAAATGATGATCGAAATGAGTAGATAAGTTACGGATACAAGGATATAAGCAATAGCCAAATCTCGTAGATTATGCTTTGGATTCTTTTGTGTTTTAAGCAATGTAGTCAAACAATTATGAATGAACATGGCCAATGACAATACACCAGTATAGATGGGAAAATTCCAATCAAATAGATGAACATAAAATTCTGAATTTGAATCGAATGAAATATTGATGAAATTCCATGAATAAGCTTTAAACATTGCAAATATTAAAAGATAGAATACAGAAAATGTTCCAATAATATTGAATTTAAGAAAAAAATTAACAGATCGTAAACAAGTAATTGGACCAATGAATATTATCAATATAACGGGTACAACAAAATCCAGATTAGCCATAAAATGATCATATCTTTCATCTGTCCCTTGGCTAACATTGACGATTGGATTACATACAACTGATGATGTATTCAAACCGATTGTCATGTTAAGTATTTGAACTTGATAAATAAAACTAATCACATGTCGTAAGAAATTGCTCATCAATACCCAATATACAATACAACCGCCAGCCAATATAGATAATGATGATATTTGTGAGATTTTATGTGCCATATTTCCCAATAATAATGAACATAAATCGGTAAATTCATTCACTTGTATGGAAAGTATTTTCGGAACTCGTATAACAAGTGAAGCGGTAAAAAAACATAATCCAGTCATTAATAGAATTATTAGAAATCCACCCAATAATCCGGCTTGATGATATGCCCATGGTAAACAAAGCAATGATGTACCCATCATCATGTTCCAAATGGCAAATATTGTTACAATAGATGATTGGCGAGCTTCAGATGAATTTTCTACTTGAAAAATTGGCACCGATACTTTTGGCAATATAAAATACCATGGAATCACATGATTTGGTATGATGAGAATATTTTCATTACTTCGTTTATGTTTGTCGAAATTTTCTGAACTATTAAACAGCCGATTATAATATCGATAACGATGATAAACGCTTGCTTCTTGAATGATGGCTCTATTTCCGTTGTTGTGGTTCATATTTACCGGAATTTTCAACGAAGAACTTGTTGCCAATGATGATGATGGTAATTGTGGTTCAAATGTTCCATAATCATATTGGCCAACCAGATCACCAGATGGTGGATAATAATATGGTAACCGGGTGCTTGGGGCCGATGTTAATGACGATGATAATAATGCTGATGATGACAGTTGAGGGTGCATAGAATTTTCTTGACAATTTGGCGATGAAGTTGATCGCCGAAGAATTGATCGTTTTCGATCATTCATGTTTAAAGATTCTCTCACTTTAGTGAATTTGTTTTTTTCAAATTATTAATGCTAATGATCATCAAAATAAAAATTTGGTATCAAATATCAAAATTCAAGAATGAGGAAGTTTACACATTGTTGTCGCCTTCTTATTAATCGAATGATTTTTCTCGATATGATAAATGGAAATTAATTCAAACTCAGGTCATTCATTCGTCTATCACAATCGATAAATATATTTTGATTTTTTTCCAATATAAAAAAAATTTCTTCATTCGATACACCGCGATCGATTAATAGATGGATGGATGGTTGGAAGGATGGGTTGCATATATTTATAATCGATCGAAATATAGAGATTGATTGATCAATGATCGGATAGGTTGATTGGAAACAATCAAAAATTTTATCAATTTTACTTGCACATATAGCTTTTATGTCAATGTGATCTGATTTGATATTATGCATGGCCCATTAATACTTTCTTCACATTATATTCGATCAAATATTGATCGATTAATTGATTAATTGATTCGACTATTTAGTATCATTGAGTATTTCCCAATCATCATCCAACCATCATTGCCACAAGTTCGAGTAACACTTTTGACGTGAATTTTTTCACATTAAAGTTTTCTGCATTTGTCACATTTTTGCTCTTGTAATATCAAATCGATTCATGATAGACAGACAGGCGTTGTTTATCAATAATAAAAAAAAATTTCCTGATCAATGATATCAACGATTTTTAAACGATAATCAGAAAAAAAATATTGGCCAAATTTTATTTAATTTTCTTCCCCAAACACCAACTCAACAAACTCCCTAAAAAAATGATAAAAAAAATTCCCGATCAAAGTAACATTATTTGTCTACAAAGAAAAGCATACCAGAAAAAATAAACATTCAAAGATTAATGGAAAAATTTTCCAAAAAATTATGACGCATCATGGAAACGAAACGAAAAAATTGTAAAAAAAAAAAATCTTATGGATCGAACACAGAAATTTTTTTTTTAATAACCTAATTGTTCAAATAGAACGTATATATCTTAATCCCGTTATTGTTACAAAAAACAAAAATTGGATTAAATAATCAAGAAATTTATTTGCCAATTTAAAAAAGATGAAAAAACAAATGAAAACAATTTGATTCGATTTAATTTGGTGTGCAATTCCGATTGATTATATAGCCAATGGATAATAAATTTCAAAGTTTTCTAATTTTCTTGGCAATATATGTTTTTGTCGTAACAATTGTCATGATAATCACGATATTCTTATTACATTATTTTTGTCTTACTTTTCCCGAATCACCATCATCATTATCATTATTGAGCCATATTAAATCATCACATTGTGATTTAGATGAATCACCAAGTTTAATTAAAACAATTCCTACAGATATTCTTGATGATAATATACAATCGAAATATAAACCGGATACTATAATCATTTCTGCAACGAGAAAATAAATGTCTTGTTGTTGCCATGTGTGGACATATATTCATTTAATTTTAATTTTAATAATTTGAATGCAATTTGTGTGTTGGTCAAACATGGTGTTAATTACTACTATTTTTTATATATACTAATACATCTCTTGGGTATTGATTTTTATGTGTTCAATCATTTACAATTATATTAAAATTAATTTGAAATAGACAATGCTTCTAATGCCGAATCAATATTATCGATCAAACGTTCGTTTGCTTTTTCAATCGAATTTGATGATGATAAATTTTTCTTATAAATATTGGAAATCTGATTCGAAGCCCATTGAGCTAGTAGAATGTATTCCTTCTTTTTAGATGCTGTCGTTTTTGGTGATGTTGCCAATGCATTTGATGATAATATCAAACCATAAAGTGCGTGAAGACTTGATGGTTTTAATTTTGTTGCCTGTGCATAATATGAACGTGCCAATTCCAATGAATCACCTGTTCCTATTGTATATTGAATGTCAGCATATCGTTCATGATACAAATGATTATGTGGATTTGATAGAATCAATTCTTCAACACAGAAAGCAGCTTTAGCATATTCTTGTTCTTGAATATAGAATTCTGAAAGTTGAATCCATGCTTCATGATCATTCATAAAATTTTTTAGATAATCACATGATGCTTTAATTGCAAGATGATTCTTCCTAGTAGCGATTAAAATGGCAATTTTACGTTTATGTAACAACGAATTCGATTCATCATTAGCAATCAGCTCATTATATTTGGCTATAGCATCATCATAACGTTGTGTCAATTCCAATTTAGCCATCATTCGAAGTCGTTTTACTCGGCTACTATTAGGAAATTTGTTCAATAATTGTGTTATACAGCTTTCGATCAATGTTTTATCATGAAGATCCATTGCGGCTACACAAACTTGTTCCAAGACTACCCATTCTGAAAAAAAATTAGTTATGAATTCAAAATGAACCCAGAATCATTGGATAATACATACTTTCGTCACCGAGATATGAACCAAGATCTTTGGTGAGCCATATTTGACGTACTAATTCCGAATTACGAGCATTTTCTTCACGCCATTTTTGTAACAATTCTTTTGATTCTGTTTTCATAAAATAAAATTCGATTGATTTCAAGGAAAAAAGTGAATAAAAACCAAACACACATACCTCGTTTACTCAATTTTGATACAAATTCATCACAGGATTCAAATTTATTCGGGTCCATTATTGATAAGATAATTTGTTAAATATGACACTGGAATGATTTTTTATGAATTGAGTAATGATTGGATGCTCAATATTGAATGAATGTTATTATGAATATTATTGTTGAAAAAATAATGAATCATCGATGAAGAAAATTGCAGGGAAATTTAAAAACAAAACATGCAAAAAAACTTTCCAGAATACAAATATCATCGTCACCAAGGGGAACTGGATATGTTTGTGATCTGATGTTGGTTTGCCACGTTCATTCGATGACTAGCAATATCATCTCAAATTCTAAAAACGAAAATCAAATACAAAAGGCATTTTTTTCTTGGAAATTTTTATTTTTCAAAACTTATTAATCATTTTTTTTTTGTTTTCCAATATAAAATGAAAATTGTTTATTGAGTTGTATTTTTGTTTCAAAAAAATCAATCATCATATGTATTAAATGTGTTGGGATTTATAATTGGTGTATGTGATGTGTGTTTCAAGAGAGAGAGAGAGAAAAGAGCGAAAAGTGAATTGCCAGACGGCCCATAGAAACAAAGAAACGTATTCCAGGTTCGAGGCGTTTGGTTACTTTTTCTTTTGTGCCTTTTCAGCAGCCTTGGTCACTTTACCACTGGTAGCTTCTTTCGGTTTGACAGCTTTGATGACACCGACGGCCACGGTTTGTCTCATGTCACGAACGGCAAAACGACCCAATGGTGGGAATTCCGTAAATGTTTCGACACACATTGGTTTGGTTGGCGCCAAATCGATAATGGCGGCATCACCTGATTTGATTGATTTGGGCATATCTTCCAATTTTTTTCCTGAACGACGGTCACATTTTTCCTTGATTTCCTTGAATTTGCAAGCAATGTGAGCTGTGTGGCAATCCAACACTGGAGTGTATCCATTGGAGATTTGGCCTGGATGATTCAATACAATGACCTGGGCAGTGAATTCTTCACATCCCTTTGGAGGATTATCTTTGCTATCACCAGCCACATAACCACGACGCAATTCCTTGACGGAAACGTTCTTGACATTGAAACCAACATTATCGCCAGGGACAGCTTCTTGCAAGGCTTCATGGTGCATTTCGACAGATTTAACTTCAGTGGTAATACCAGCTGGAGCAAAAGTAACGACACAACCTGGTTTCAAAACACCAGTTTCAACACGACCAACGGGCACGGTACCAATACCACCAATCTTGTACACATCTTGCAATGGCAATCGAAGTGGTTTGTCAGTTGGACGAGTTGGTGGTTCTTGGGCATCCAAAGCTTGCAACAAAGTTTTGCCTTCGAAATTTTTGTCCTTTTCGTTCAATCGACCATCCTTTAAACCAGGTCATGTTGGTTGATGGGTCCAACATGTTGTCACCGTTCCAGCCAGAGATTGGGACAAAAGCGACGGTAGCCGGATTATAACCAATCTTTTTTACATAGGCAGACACTTCCTTTTGGATTTCTTCGAAACGAGCTTGAGAGAATGGTGGTTCGGTGGTGTCCATTTTGTTTACACCAACAATCAATTGTTTGACACCCAAAGTATAGGCAAGCAAAGCATGTTCACGGGTTTGACCGTTTTTCGAGATACCAGCTTCAAATTCACCAGTACCAGCAGCGACAATCAAAACAGCCACATCGGCTTGAGAAGTACCAGTAATCATGTTTTTGATGAAATCTCTGTGACCAGGAGCATCAATAACAGTTACGTAATATTTTGGTGTTTCGAATTTCCACAAAGTGATATCAATGGTAATACCACGTTCACGTTCAGCTTTTAGTTTATCCAAAACCCAGGCATATTTGAAAGAACCTTTGCCCATCTACATATACGTTTAGTGAAATGAAAAAAAATCATTTAAATATGAGAATCAAAAAATTAAATACTCGATAAACTTACATCTTGAGCTTCTTTTTCGAATTTTTCAATGGTACGTTTATCGATACCGCCACATTTGTAGATCAAATGTCCGGTGGTTGTCGATTTACCAGAATCGACGTGACCAATGACGACAATGTTGATATGAGTCTTTTCTTTTCCCATCTTGTTTCAAAAACGAATTATATATTTTTTAATGATGATAATTCAAAACTAAATTTGATAAACAAAAAAAAAGATGCAAAAAAATATAAATTTAAAAAAATGCTTCAAATTGTAAATGCGTTATGTAAAACAAAAAAAATTATTATCGAACACACACACACACTATGCGAAACTTTTAAATAAAGGAAGCAATAGTAAAAAAAAAATGCAGTATTACCACCAAACACACACAGATACAGCACAAGAACACACTGAGAAAAAAAAAAAAAAAAATTGGAAAAAAAAGCACACCGTGTGTAACAGAAATGCAATGCCGACGGAAGTGGCGCTTCAATCGTCAAAAAAAATCTTTAACACAAATCATTATAAAAAATACAGTGAAGACACTAGGTGGCATGTTTTAATGAATGAATGAATGTATGTGTAAAAAAAAAATGCAGCGTGGGCTACACACACACATACACAGTGGATAATACTGCATACGTGTATTCATACAATGAAACAAAACTATTAAAGCGCAGAATCAAAAAAAAAAAAAAAAAAAAAAGCTAAAAAGGAAGAACCACCACCACACAGAGATGTGAATTTTGTTAACACACACACATGCTTCTTTTTCAAGACAAATCCGGATACTTGTTTCGTATGAAAAAGAAATGCATAAACACGTTGAACGAAAAAAAAAAGAAATTCGAAAGCAAAAAAAAAACCTGGAATATCAATGATTGTGATTGCAGAAATTCGGAGTAAAAAAAAAAATTTTCAACTTGATAAAAAAAATTTGATATGAGAAAAAATCATTGAAAAACTAGAAAAAAAAGATCTGATCTAACACAAAAATCATCTGTAATTGATGATTATGATGTGATTAAAATGCAATGAAAAGAACGGATTGAGAAATGACGAATCCTGAGACGGAAATATAGAAATTGAATTTTCATTTTTTTTCGCATCTCAATCAGAATTAAATCAAAGTTAATTGAATAGAATGATGGTGAATATAAAAAAGATAATAATGAAATAAAAATCAAAAACTCACTTTAAGATGCGTGAAAAGAAAGCGTGGAAAAAGAAATCAAAGTACAAAAATTTTTTTACAAACGATAATGAAAAATTTGAAAAAAAAGACGTGTGAACAACATGCACAACAAACGCCAAATAAACTGAAAGCAAAATGTGCATTGTAGTTTTATTCATTTGCCGTCGTCGTTTTTTTATGTTGCTATTTTTATCCAAGTAAGTCTAAAATTCATAAACTACGTTTGCCGGTAATTTTTCACAATCATCGGATAATGAACACATTGAAATTCATATTAATGATTAATAATTAAAGTGAAATTAATTTAACCATAAGTGTGATGAAAAATTTCTATTACTAATCAAAATTGTAAGGTTTAAAAGTGATAAAATTTTCATCGTAATTCATGAATTAAGATTTAGGTATTAATAGCTGACATTTAGTCATCCTTGACTTATTCATATAAACCATGATACCATGTGGATTTGATGATGATTAAATTCTCTATTCTCTGGGTTCATCAATTTCAATTTTTTTTCAGTTTAATTTCCACAATACAAAAGCTAAAGGTAATTATCTTACATTCTCTTGCATCTTTTATTGATTTAATAGCCTAATAATTAGTTAAAGTCATGACATTGATACTGAATAAATTAGGAAAACAAATCAAACAAACGATTCATTTGGTCAATGGATCAGCAGTCAATTTTATTAATAATCAATCACCGTTAAATTTTGTTCGTTTTTTGGCATCAAAATCAGGAAAAAATCCATTTCCACAATATATTAATCTTCCACCTATTTCTCCATTATCTGGTAAAGGTCATACATTTGAAACACGAATTGAACGTAAACGAAAAATTGAAGATCCAAATGTACCAAGTTTAAATTCAATTAGTGAATTAAAATGGGCTACAACACGTATGTTGCGTGATGTTCGTAGACGAAGAGTATTCATCGATTATTATCCATTTCGTCAATGTTATTATAATATGAGAAAGAATCGAACATTGCCTGAATCTGTTAGGGTTCGTGTTTTTTTTTTTTTTGTTGGAATTTTTTCGTTATTGACTAATCTTTTTTTTCGCTATTCTAAATCTATTTAGGAAGAAGCATACAAACTTGAACGTGCATTACCACGAGATTCTATGTTTCATTTATTACATAGTCGTTGTGCTATAACTGGTCGATCACGTGGTGTTGTCAAACGTTATCGTATGAGTCGTTTTTGTTTTCGAAATTTTGCCGATTATAATCAACTTTCTGGAGTGATTAAAGCTTGTTGGTCATAATTTTTTTTTGTTGGCTACAAATAATAATAATAATTTCAATTTAATTCGAAAATCGACTGTAGTTTCTTTTTGTCTTAGTTTTTGTTTCATCATCAAATTCATCAAATTCAATTAATATTTTCGTTATTTCAAAAATGATTAGAGTTAAATTCTCTCACGGTCTTTATATGATTTGGAATGCAAATGGTAAGATGATAATGATGGTTTTTTCATTTAATTGATTATTCTATTTATTGAATATTTTTAGATGCTGTTGAAATTCGTGAAAAATATCGTATCATTGGCAGTCTAATTGGAACATCACCCATACATCCACGTCAAAATGATAGCCATGGTCTGCCATTAATTTTATCGGATGAAGAAGTTCGAACATTACATTCAATTGGTGTAATCGAAATTATTGAACAATCATTTCCCGCTAAACTAAATGATCCAAAATTATTATCATATTATAATGATTCATTGAGAAATTTTCGTGAAGAAAGCCGTCAAAAATTTATTGAAGAAAGACGTGAACAAATCATTTCAAATTTAGATAAAATTGTTGCTGGTAAATTGAAAAAAAATAAATTACAAATTGAAGGCAGTGATTTAGAAGAATATCGACAAAAAATTCTTGATGAAATGCTTTCAAATATACGTGAACCAACGGATAAAGATCTAGAAGATCGTGTACGTTTCCATATTCAATCACAATATCAACAATTCAAAATGGAACAAACAATTCAATTACCATTATTGGAACCATATGGTTTAGAAAGATTAAAATATCTAACATTTCAACATTTTTGGTCACGTGGTTATTATCTAACAAATGGATTGAAATTTGGTGCCCATTTTCTTGTTTATGATCATGATCCAATATTATTTCATGCAAAATTTATTGTATATTGTTGCCCAAACACCGATGATTTCGAACGTTTCAAACAGCGTATGATACAAGCATATGGACGTTTGGGTAAAAATGTTCGAAAAAATGTGATCATTGTACATTATGAACAACCAATGAATAGTGGTGGTGGTGGTGGTGATGATGATGAAAAGATCCAATTGGAACACGTTCAATGGAATCCGATGCTTTTCACCGAAGAACAACAACATCATGATGCTAATTCCAATGATATTCAATCATAATTTTGTTAAATTTGTGAAAACAATTAATTTTTAATCATTCAAATAATACCAAAAAAAACAATAAAAAAAAGAAAGAATAAAAAACAATGACAATTTCAAAACAAAATATTGATTCGAAACTTGGATAAAAAACAATACTTTTCAATCATTACTCTTGACGAATGATCAAAGATCAAGTTTGAACAAAAAAAAAAACGATCAACTTTATATCACCAAGATTTAAATGGAACCTGAGCCAATGTCCATCGTTTACGTTTTCTTTTTGGTTTTGATCGCACCTCATCATTGTCATTGTTTTTAGTCATTGCTGAAGAATTTTGTGATAAAAATGATAAACGATTATCACTAGTTGATGATGATGATGATGATTGTAAGTTTTGAATCGATGATAATGCTTGACGTTCATTTCTAAGTTTTCGTTTTAATCTTGCACATTTCATATCAATTGGCCAATTTTCTTCACCTTTAATTTGTTTAAATTTACGTAATTTTTCAATTGATTTTGAACGACGACGATTTGCTTTTGGCGTTTGATTTCGAAGAATGTCATGCCAATGTCGACAAACACATGATATTGTACGAAGATCTTTTGGTCTCAGATTGGCAAAAATCTTTTCCAATATGTGTGGATAATTCTGTAATTCCGTTATAAAATCGATTCGCACGTTAATTGTTGACAAATAATTATCAGTATTCATGGTATATGAAACATTTTGAATTTTCAATTGACGATGAAACACAAAAAATCAAAAAAAAAATGAATTCAACAAACAAACAAAAAATTCTAAATATCGAACATTTTTTTTTCATGGATGTACGAACAAAACGACCAACAAAAAAAAAAACACAAAATGAATCTCATCTGGTTGTGACTTGTTCAAATTTCTTTACCTCAAACACCGATTTGATTGGTCGATTGGCGGTTTAAGCACCGCCCAGAATTTTATTCGAACTGGTAAATGACTATCGCGATTGTCATAACAATCGATATTTTTTTTTGTCACGTGCATTATTATTATGCTCTTCCTTTTTCCTTTTCAACAACACACACACACATCACATCAAAAAGGCACGTTGTGTTAAACGAATTTGATTTTTCCCATTTTTTTTTCTCTAACATTTTCCCAACTTAATTTGTAAGTCGAATTGAATATTTCCAATTTTTCATTTCATTATTAAAATCTGATTTTTGGTATATAGAATTTTTTTAGATTTGTCCTTAAAAGTTTCAATCCTTGTTTCACAAATTTAACGATGGGCAGGGAGGACAGATCTACCTGGAAAGCCAACTATTTCACCAAACTTTTGGTACGTATTTTTTTTTTCTTATTTCTAAATGGTTTTTTCAATACATTTTTTTTCTACAGAGTCTGTTGGACGAATATTCGAAATGTTTCATCGTAGGTGTCGATAATGTCGGATCGAAACAAATGCAAACGATTCGTCATTCGCTTCGTGAAGATGCTGTTTTATTGATGGGCAAAAATACGATGATCCGTAAGGCTATTCGTAGCCACATCGATAACAATCCGGCTTTGGAGAAATTGTTGCCGCATATCAAGTCCAACATTGGTTTCGTTTTCACTGAAAAGGATTTGGTCGATATCCGAGATAAAATTTTGGACAACAAAGTTCAAGCTCCAGCTCGTGCCGGTGCTTTGGCTCCTTGCGACGTAAAGATCCCGGCGCAAAATACTGGCTTAGGTCCGGAAAAGACCAGTTTCTTTCAAGCTTTGTCGATTCCGACCAAAATTTCAAAGGGTACTATTGAAATTTTGAATGAAATCCATTTGATCAAGAAGAATGATAAAGTTGGTGCTTCTGAAGCCACTTTGTTGAACATGTTGAACATCTCTCCGTTCACTTATGGCTTGGTAATTCGTCAAGTATACGATTCGGGTACCGTTTTCGATCCTGAAATCTTGGACATTACACCGGAAGATATTCGTATGCGTTTCTTGCAAGGTGTGCGAAATGTTGCTGCTGTATCGTTGTCGATCGGTTATCCAACCTTAGCATCGGTACCGCATTCAATTGTAAACGGATTGAAGAATTTGATTTCGGTTGCATTGGTCACCGATATCGATTTTGAAGCCGCATCGCGTGCCAAGGAATATTTGAAAGATCCATCGAAATTTGCTGCTGTAGCTGCACCGGTTGCTGCTTCCGGTGATGCTTCAGCTCCTGCTGCAGCTGCCGAAAAGAAAGAAGAAGAAGAGGAGGAAGAGGAAGATGATGACATGGGTTTCGGTCTTTTTGACTAAGAAAATGAAATCGTTTTTTGTATTGTATATCTCTTTTTATTGAATGATGATGAATATACAATTCAATTTTATTTTGAAAAAATAATAAAAAAATTGCAATGGCACATTTGGTTATTGTTTGTTTGTTTGTTTGTTTGTCTATTATTATTCAATGTCTAACATTTTTCCATAGCTTTGATTAATTCACGTACAACAACATCATTACCTCGGAGTGATTGTCGTTCATTCAATAAATTTCGGCAAACATCATTTGCGCCAGCACGAACAGCAGCCACTAACATCAATTGATTGAATACATCTCGTTGAGCATCGCTACCACCCATTTTGAGCAAATCATTTTTGATGGCCATCAATCGATCTAATGAACATTGATATTTTTCACGTTTAAAATCAATCATTGATTGTAAAACCTGTTCAGTAATATCGATCCAATGATCTTTGATGATACCGGTAGATTTAATTAATCGAAATCCTTCCAATAATTCTTCGGCTTTTTCTAGTCGATCATTTCCAAGACAGGCCATCGTAAAATGAACAGTATTAAAGCCAAGAATATGATCCTCAAAATGTGGTTCGCAAACACTGTATAATGATTGCCAATGATTACCGCTGTATTTTTTCGGAAACAATAAATCCAACCGATAAAGCAATGAAGTAGCATCGACAATATCCAACATGTTGCCAGATTTTTTAGCTTGTGGTCCAATTCGTGATTCATAGATCGATGATGCTGATTCTGGCCGATCTAATTCAATATGGAACAATGACCAATGCCAATAATTATGGCATGCTAGATAATTACAATCTTTCCAATCTTTTTCCGTTTCATAGATGGCAGTGATTCCTTCATCCGTTCGTTTTTGCATCTCATGAACATGAGCCAAAGCATGTACTGCCCAAGCATCTTGGGGAATCTTTTGTAAACCTAATTTTGCTTGCTTTTCAGCTTCACTATAACGACGATGTTCTTCCAATCCAAATGAATACATACCGTGAATGTATCTGTGATAAAAAAAAATTTGTCCAAATGTAAGTAATATGTTGATTTCGATGATCAAAGACTTACCCTTGAAGTGGATCTTGATTTGTTTCCCATTTTGAATAAACTCTTTCAATTGAATCCAAAATGTTTCGTTTGTCTCCCAGATAAAAATAAACATCATGAGCTAATTTCAATGCAAGCATATCGGTTGGATATTTTTGAAGGATTTGTTCCCAAATTTGACTGGCTGCAGCCATGTTTCCATTAGCAAGTAAATCAAGTGCTTGGACATGAGCATATTCACGCCATTCTATTGCAGATTTACATTTTTCGGCCAATTGTTTCAAATCTATTAGTTCGGCATTTAGTTTCGGATCACGACGAATACTTGTTCCGGTTCCAATAAGATCAAGACCAATCGATAATGCTCGACCAAGAATGAAATTCGGATCTTCGTTTAACATTTTTTCAACAGTTGTAGCCATACCAATGTCATCATCATACCATCCAACATACTATATATGTGATTGATATATATAAGATATAAGTTTGAATTTCCATAATTTTTTTTCGATAACCAACAACAATACCTGAGTCAAAGCAGAATCGAATAGTTTAACAGCACAATTTGAACTAGTACTTTTGATCGTTAGACCTTGATCACTCCATTCTTGAAGATCACGAAAATGATGACGAAGTTTCATGTTTTTTTTTTTATTTTCAATTCGTTAATTCGTTTAATTTTATTTATATGAGGATGATGTCGTCTTAGCAACTTGTTGAATTCAAGGTAAATAATTTGTTTGTATGTATGAAAAGTATATTGTTTGTTTGAATATTCATAGAGGACGGATTCGGATTAATTAATTAATTAACTTGATTGATTTCCTTCACATTATTATTAAGACGGAGGAAAAAAACGCTATTTTTGACAAAATAATAAGCTCATTTTTAGAATAATTTTCCTTTCAACAATTGCATATCTTCATGTGTTTTTCGTTTGACTTGTTGATCAAGTTCAATTAGATGTTGTTTAACCATTGATTGTAATGTTGAATCTAATTCGGATACACGTTGAAAATCTTTTCGGGCTTGATCAACATTCCATACGGCTGAATGTGCTTTAGCACGACGATATAATGCTTTGACGTTTTTTGGATCTTTTTCCAACACTTCATCCGTATGTCTTATGGCATCATAATATTGTTGTAGATAGAGTTCACATTGTGATAAATTACAAAGTAATGGGATTTTTCCAAGATCATAATTTAACCAATCTTGATCACCTGGTTTTTCCCTGGTCATTAATTGTTCAAGAATGGCCAATGCTTTACGATATTTAAATGATGCTTCTTCAAATTGTTTAGCTGCAAACAATTGATTACCAACTCGTTGTAAAACTGGAATATTTTCCTGCATCTCGTTTTCATTCATCAACCAGATTTCTTTGTCAACATCATTAGGATTTTCCACACGAATAAGTTCGATTGTAAATCGAAGTTGTTTTGGTGATCTTTTATTGATAAGATCATCAAGATCTTTATGGCCTGTGCCAGCTTGTTTAGCCATGCCTAATGTTTTGGGATAAAATAATTTAAATTAAAATTAAGTTATTACAATGAATAGTAACCAGGACTGACCACAACAATGAGATCGTTTTGCTGGATCATCGTGATTATGATCCTGTGGATTAACAAAATTTCTATACGATTTCGATAAAAGTGGATAAACATCACGGCAAAGCGTCCAATCCAAACTTAATTGTGATACCTCACCTAAACGCATATGTTTGATCCATTCTTCCCATAATGGAAATTTAAATTGTTTTCCAATAAACAATTCCATCGGTTTATTCGATGATTTTGAATCATCAATCATTACCATATCGGATTCATCATCATCCGAATACGAAGCTTCAGTTTTAAAATGAAATGTTACCTGAAATTGTTTTTTTTCAATGATAACGATCATAAAATTAACAATAGAGAATATACTCACCTTTGTTCCATTCGAATAATCTTGAACATCACCTTTTCCAGGTATCAAAACTTTACGTTTACGAATTAATAGATTAAATAAATTTTCTTCGATCGATTTTATAGGATCGTCCATTTTGTTTTCATTTCAGTCGTTCAGTCGTTCATTAGCTAAATTTTATTTCTACTTATATATAAATAAATAAATAAATAAATGCAAACAATCCATGAAATCCTGAAACAGCTGATGATTGACGTCATTTCTGAAAACTATAGTCAATGAAATTATTGTGATTCCAAAATTTTCAAACGGTTTCAAAAATATTTTAATCAGAAAAAATTATATTATTTTGAATATTACAACAATAATTAATTATAAACAAAAAAAAATTTAGCCTAAATATTCGAAAAAATCCAATCATTTCTTTTCACCAAGTTTCCAGGTAAAATAAGAATTCCAAATTAAAGCAAACATTGATGCAAATATGGCTCTGAAAAAAAAATGAAATTTCTATTAGTAAATATTCATTAATTTTTTTTCAAATTACCGATAATTTAATGGAATCAGATAAAAATTTGCAATTTGAACGGCAGGCCAAATTTTGTAGCTAGCCATCATGATATCAACATAATTATCGTTAATATTTTTACAAATCTCATTCATTGATTTTCGATTCATTAGACCCAATATTGGCAAAGCAAACAGATTAATAAGTGGACTAAAAGTTGATTGATCAATGATCATTTTTTGCCATGGTTTCAGAATGATTTGTTTCGAACGGCCAAAACTTCGATCCAAAAACCTATACCACAATGATATGCATGGTCCCTGTGTATTTTTAAAAAAAAAATAAATAAACATTCATAACCTTTCTAAATGATGTACATACAATATAAACTAGACCGAACAAAGCAAATTTTGCCGTTCTTTTTACAATAAGCTCTGGTTGTTTTTCAATCAATTTTTGGGCAATAATATCACCGGTTGCAACTAAACAAGCATTGGTAATGCATTGAGTTTTAATTGGATGTTTAATCATCACACGATTATATGCACGAAATATGTTCATGATTGATTTTTGGATGATGTTTGGATAAAATTTTACATCAATTTCATCATTTCAAATTATTAATTTTTGTAGCGAATGATTATCATTATTTAAACAGCATGCATGGTTCCATCAATATTATAATATCAATATTGATTGATGATGGTGTAACATAATTTATGAATTTTTATGCATGATTCGAATATTTTTGTTTCAACCTAAAAATTCATGATAATTTATTCAACAACAAAATAAAATGAAAACAATTTTCTACATTATTTTTCTTTTTCTCCCAATTTCCAAGCTAAATATGAATTCCATGCCAATGAAAATCCCGATGTAAATACGGCTCTTTGATAATCAAATAAAGTAAGTTATATTATTGAAAATATAATAATCGATCAATATATTAATGATAAACACATTACCGGTAATTTAATGGAATCAGATAGAAATTAACCATCTGTACGGCAGGCCAAACTTTGTAACTATTTTTCATGATATCCACATAATTATCATGAATATTTGTCTTAATTGCTTTGAATGATTCTTGACTCATCAAGCCCAATACAATGATGGCCATTAAATGAATAGAAGGATTGAATGTAGCTTGATCGATCATCACTTTTTGCCATGGTTTCAATAATAATTGTTTGGGTCCAAAACGTCTGTCTAGAATTCGATACCAAACAGATATAGATGGTCCCTTGATATATGATAATTATATTGATTGAACTTAAATTATTTTTTTTTTGTACTTACAACAAATAATAATCCAAATAATGCAAACTTCACCGTTCTTTTGACAATCAATTCCGGTTGTTTCTCGATCAATTTCTGTGCAATCAGATCACCAGATGAGACCAGAAATGCTGTTGTTAAACATTGTGTTTTTATTGGATGATTGGTCATCACCCGATGATATGCACGAAAAATGTTCATTATGGATATTATGATGATAAGTTGTTACAAAGAAATTTTCGTTTTTTTTAGTACAGAAAAATGACTATTATTTTATTTCAAAGTTATTGAGAAAATTGTGATAAGAATGAATGATTGATTGAAAAGTTTTTGTTTTATCAACAACAAAATCAATCATCATGTGAAATATGTGTAAGTGAATATGTATGTGTGTGTGTGTGTGTGTGTTAGATAATAATTTCAATTCAATAGCATTGAAATGGAACTAAATGATTAAAATCATTTGAAATTAATCTAGTAAATAGCTGAAAAATGTCTTTGCATCCACCACCACCAGCACCATCACTATTATTCATAATTGTTTGAATGGATTGGAAATATTTCTTCGTCATTGGTACCTCTTCTCGTATTTCTACTGCTGTTTGTGGATTATCTCGGTAACAAATATCGATATATTCCAATAACTTTTTAACGAAATCTTTAATCCATACAAAATTTGATTGATTTGAATAATTAGACCATCTACTACTACCACCACCACCACCACCACCGCCACCATTTGGTTTGAATAATTTACTCATTGCGTTATATGGATCATCCGAATCCGAGTCATCACAATCAAGTTGATCAAGATTTTTGTAATAAATTTTGCCACAATAATTGAATCGTGAATAGCCGAAATCGATAATTTTTGCTTCAAAACCCATCGAAAGAACTTTATATTTCTTTGACATATAAACAAATTTGATCCAACGTGATTTAGTTTCTTTACATATAATATTATCGATATGAAGATCACGATGTTCAAAATTATAGATACTTTCAACAATAGCTATACCAATAACGATCTGTTTGAATATCGATATCAACGCTAATGGTGTGATTATTGTTCGATCCATTAGTTCACGAAGTTTTTCACCACAATGTTCCATAATGATAATAATGGTTTCTAGAACATTATTCATTGGAAGACGATTCGTATCCGAAGATGGCATGATTGATTCGAAATTAATCAATGATTTAGCTTCATTATTGCAAAGATATATTTTGTATAGAAATGGGAAACACTTTGTTTGAAAACGATATCGTTTCCGTGGACGTCTCGATTCAACAAGTGGTTCTGGTTGATCCTCATCATCACTATCACTTGTATCATTTGAATCAGATTGCCCTTGCCGTACAATCAAATTTGAAACATCGCCATATTCATGATCACTTTCCACGAGTGATTGATTTTCGTTAATTGTTATACCGGAAGAAAGTTTGGATAAAATTTTTATGCATAAAGCCTCTTTATAGATATCACCATAACTCATTGCCGATGAATAGATGTTTGCGGCTAATTTTTCTGGCAAACATCTTATGGTTTTAATCATTTTTTCGGTATAACGTCGTCCACGATACATAAGAATGGCTTTGCCAAATGTACCAGATCCAAAATATTCAAAACGTTGTTCGATGAATTCATCGATATTAAATACTTGTCCGAAATCCAAAACTTTTTGACAATCAACAATTTCAAGTAATTTTTCACGAGCTGGTTCATTTTCAACCATATTTTTCAATTCTATATTCAATAACTCGATATTCGATTCGAAAACATTTTTCGATTGATCTTTCGCCTCTTGTTCGCTTAATCGTTTTTTCAATTCAGCCAAAAACTCATCATCGTCCATTGTTCAAATTCGAATAGAATGTAGTTGAATAACCAAGGCAATAATAAAAGAAAATGGTTGAAATTTCACAAGTATTTTAGCTTTGTTATGTACTCTTGCTCAATCATAGTTCATGTAATTAATTTAAATCCAAATTCGAAATTCACCGACTTTCAACTTCACTATAACCACAATTTGACCATCCGTTCATGCTCATCAACTTTTATAAGCCAGTAGGACATTCATTTACTGATATCAATGCATTTCATGTCGATCATGTAATTCTTGTACCAATTTCGGCACAATATGAATAAAGAATTTCAATTTATTCAATTTATACAAATTATAGTGATCCATCATTTGTAGAACAAACACAATACAAGAAGACAAACAACAACGTCAATTTATTGAATAATGATTGATTGACCAAGAATTGTATCACATAAATTCTTTCATCAATGTCTAAATTATAAAAAATGTATAAAAAGAAATGAAATGTTTCAACGATCATTCAGAACAACATACAAACGCACGATGATTTGTCTGAGACGAACATTGGTAAAAGTGACACCATTATTGAAAATATCCGTTCAATCATTAGAAATAATATTGGATCGTGAAAATGCAACCTATTTCGGTGGTGAATCCATAACTGGACATTGTAAAGTTTCATTGGTCGATATATTAGATGTGGATAAGATTAAGATAAAATTTTTTGGCCAAGCTAAAACCTATTTGGAAACGAATAAAAGCCGTAATGCAATCGAACGTGAAAGATTATTTCAACAATATTTCTGGCCAAAAGATCGTATGTTGTGTTCTCCATTGAATTAATGTTTATTGTGTGCTAATTTAATGTTTTAAATTTTTATGAATTTTAGTTTTACCACCGAATCTGATTGCTGGTTTTCATAAAATTCCATTCAGTTTCATTGTACCGGTCAATATACCAAGTACTTTTAAATATACATTCGATAGTCATATTAAATATAAGATTAAGGCCATATTTGGATTGACAATCAAATATATGAAAGTAACGATTCTAACTAATCCAAATATTTCCATTAGTAAATTATTGGTAAGTTTTATATATTCGCTTATTCAATTCAAATGAATTTCATTTTTTTTCAATTCCACACACCTATATACTAGATACCAGTTTGTGCATCAAAAGAGAAAAAAATCGGTATAATTGGTTCACGTTCAGTTTCATTACAATGTCGTTTACCACGAATTGGATTTACACTCGGTCAATTCATACCGGTTATGTGTTTGGTTGAAAATCATTCGAATAAATTGCTAACATTAAAAGCTATACTTCATCAACAAATTTTCCTAATGGCATTATCGGAACGTAAAGTTTGTTGCCGAAAAGTTCATAAAATAATTGGACCAAATATTAAACCAAATTCAAAATTTGAACAAATTGTCAATGTATCATTACCTGAACAATTACCGATTGTATTCGATACATGTAATCTGGTTCATATTAATTATATTCTCGATATTTATCTTGATATTCCGATTGCAGTAAATCTTCACTGTCCATTACCCGTAATATTAACCTATCAACAATTGGATATTGAACCAATCAATCTATTTAAACAATCAACAATATCATCACATAGGCTTTCGTTATGTTCATTTGATTGTAAAGAAAATGCAGATGATATAAATGTTGATAATAAATGATAAATAGGCAACAAATCCATTTTCATCAATAACAAAAATATTGATTTGTTGCCATAGAATTTCCAAAGATATGAACTATCCATACATAATTGATTTGTTTAAAAAAATGAAAATTTGATAAAGTTTTCATAGCATACACAAGATACGCCTCCTATCAGCATTATTTCTTTTTCGAAAACAACAACAAAAAAATCCAGATATATCTACTTGGAACAATCATCAACAACAATTATTATTTCCATTTTAAAATTATGACGTAGTAATTGTTATGATGATGTAGTGAGCACAGTTTTCTAGGAGTTTTCATCGATCATCAACTTAACTATAGTGGCAGCATTGTGGATGTCGTCACTGTTTAAGAAAAGATCTTGCAATATTATTTGACTCATTCATTTCGATTTCTCTTTCATATGTAACCGTTTCAGATAAATATAAATAAATCAAAAGACTAAATTTCGATTTCGATATTCATTTCTATTTTGCAAGAATCATCTTGATTCATTATATACCAAAACATCATGAACATTATACGATCATTATTCGAAAATCGTATAAATTCATTATCCATCATTTTGGATCGTTCGAATCAGACTTTTTATCCTGGCGAAATAATCACTGGTCGTTTAGTTTTTACATTGAGTGAATCGATCAATCAAGATGGTTTGCAATTATCATTCATTGGACGTGTGAATACATTGATTCAAGTGTCACATCCTAAAACTCATCATCATGGTCAAACTATTACAAGAAGTGGAAACAATACTACCATTATAACAACTGGTAATGTTAATAATCATCATTCTGTGCATGAAAATTACGAATTATTTCGACACGTTTTTCAATTTGCACCAAATGGTATGTGTGTTTTGATTTTTATTTATTTTTTTATACGTATGTTATATAATTATGATCTTTTTCTGCTCGATAGGCATTAGTTCGAAACTTGGACCGGGAAATCATGAGCTTCCATTTCAATTCATCATACCAATCAATGTTCCTAGCACATTTCAATATAAACGATGGGCTTATGTTGAATACCGTATCAAAGCCAATGTTGGAGGCAAATCTAAAGAATTGGACATTCAATTAATGGGTTTTCCTTCGGTTGCACCAAATGAACTTTATGTAAGATTTATTTATTCGAAATATTCGAAGATTTAAATGAAAATTGCAATTGTTTTCGTTTTTTTTTTTATTTTAGGCTCCTATACAGGATGAACAATCCAAAACGGTTGGTCTTTTCAATGGTAAAAATTAACAATGCGATGTCATATACCTCAAGCTGGATGGAAAATTGGTAGTACGATCCCTATCACTGTTAATATCGATAATTATTCGGATAAAATGATGACATTAAGCGCCTCGATCAAACAAGATATTCAAATATTAGCCCATAATCATCGTGAAACATTTCGTGAAAAAATTCTAACAACATTCGGTCAACAAGTTTCAGCCAATTTTATTGGTGGCCAATATCAAATACAGATTGTTTTGCCAAAAGAAGGATTACCAATCATTCATAATAATTGTCGTACAATACAGATAAATTATTCTATTGAAATCAAACTGGACATTCCATTAGCTATCAATCTTTATTGCAAATTGCCAATCATTTTAACTAATCAACAGTTGGATCCACAACAACAACAACAGCAACAACCATTACCTAATTATTATCCACAACCTGGACAGATGCAACAACCATTTGGTCAACCACCAGCTGCTAACCCAAATTTTGTATATCCATCATTAGATCCAAACAATAGTGGTGCACCATCGGCACCACCGATTGGTTTCGTTGAGGCACCGCCACCATATTCTGAAGAATTTGGCAACAATTCACAAACACCAATAGCTCCTTATCCAACATTACCAATGAAAGGTTAAATAAATAAATTCTAAATTCATTGATTGTTTATTTGATTGAAAAAAAAACAAAAAAAAACCAACGGTTAGCAACAACAAACAGAACTCAATAAAAATAACATTTGATGTGAAATTTATTGGCGGCGTTAGTGTGTGTTTGTGTGTGATATGTAAACGAAATTCTTGCCCCATCGACAGCTGTTACTATTTGTATTATATATTTTTTTATTGCTATTATTAAACCTGTGTTTGCATCATTAATGCTGTATTGCATTCATTTGGACAATAATAATGATTCATTTTGATTTTGATCGTATCACTAATGTCTACGAGATGATAGTAACTAATATAAAATCCAATGTTTGAACAGTTTTTTTTTTTGATTCATTTGGCCATCACATTCACAGTTGCGCCTACGCCCTTTATTTTGATTGAAACCATTTTAATAACGTGTTGTTCATTTATCGAATTTCTTTGTTTCAGTGAATAGAAAAAATAACGCACACTAAAAAAAATGGCAAACGACAATCACAACAATCAATTGGTAATAAAATTGACCAAAAATCTTCATGAATCGGGTAAAAATTTGGTACTTTCACCATTCTCATTGACAACGGCAATAGCAATGGTATTGGCTGGTGCCAATACCCATACCCGAACTGAATTAGTTCAGTTTCTATTCGGAACAAAAATGACAAACAATGAAGACAGTAAATTAATGTTGGATAACTTTACCAAAGATTTACAAGTATTCATACAGGCAAACCAAAATGTTTTGAACAATGCAAATATGCTTTACAGTAATAAAAAGTAAGTTTTTTTTAGTTTAAATCAATTTTTTCAATTATTAATTCAATATTTTTTTGTATTAGTTTACAAATGAAAGATACCTATGTTGATTTGTTGATCAAAAAATTTATGGCAGTGGCTAAACAATTAGATTTTCATGATACGAATGCCGCTTTGGCTGAAATCAATGGTGCCGTAAAGAAAGCTACTAAAGATATGATTCCCACATTATTGGATCAAATCGATCCGGAAACTCGTGCCATATTGATTAACGCTATTCATTTTAAAGGTCTTTGGAAATATCCATTCAACAAAGAGGCCACATTTGATAGTGATTTCCGTAAATCCGATGGAACCGTCATCAAAGTGAAGATGATGAGCCAGAAGAAAAATTTTGCTTATTATCAATGTGAAGATACTGGCTTGAAAGCTTTAGCGATTCCATACACGGCCGGATCGATTTCGATGGTGATTTTATTGCCTGCCGAAGGAAAGACTATTGAAAGCGTTTTGGAAACAATGCAAAATGACAATAATTTGTCACAAATTCTAAACAAAATGGACACTTTAGATGTACAATTAATGATGCCTAAATTTCGAATCGAATCTACACATCATTTGATACCACATCTAGTTCGATTGGATGTGAAAAGCATTTTTACCAACGAAGCCGATCTTTCCAGTATTAGTTCAGAGAAATTATTTGTTTCTGATGTAATACAAAAAGCAGTGATTGAAGTGAATGAAGAAGGTACTGAAGCTGCAGCCGCTACAGCAATCATGATGATGCGATGTTGTGTAATGTTGGACGAAATCTTTTTCACTGTAGATCGACCATTTGTTTACATGTTAATTTCCGATGATCGTAAACATGTTTTATTCACCGGTGTTTGTGAAAATCCAAATTAAAATTAATCGATTTCGATCATTTATTGTTCACACATCTTAATCAAGTATTTTTGTTTTCTTTGAATAATACGAATCTTGAGTTTTATTTTTTGATGTTTTTCTTGAAAATAGTATATTAAATAAGATTCTTGAGTGCTGACAAACCAAAATAAATTGCAAAAATAACACATTTTAAATAAGGAATTTATTTTACTCGTGGCGCCACCTATAATCATGAATTTTTATGACCACCTGTTGAATGCTTAGGTATGTAGTTTTTAAGCCAATAGATGGCATTACTTACAAAAATGAAATTGTCAAAAAAGGTGAAATTAAATTTTTTCGTTGAAAAAGATCAGAATTTAGAATCTCCAAATTCTCATATACTGGGCACCATTGTATTGAAAATGTATGATTTTAATTGGATAATCAATTCTTTTATAGATTAAAAAAATATCTATATATAAAAGGAATGAAAGTTTCCAGACTAGAAAATAATGATTGGAAAAAGAAACGTTTTGTTTTGCACATTATATATAATGATGATGATGATGATTTTTCAATGTTCACTTTGACTACTATTACGTCGAAATTTATTGTTAATGTTTGATTGTTGTGGCTCGTTGTTTTGATTAGTTTGTTGACTATTTGATGATGATGATTCTGTTGATGATGATGCAATTCCCGATGAAATTGAATTACTTTGTTTCACCTGATTATGTTGATGTTTTGTCTGCGTTGATGATGATGATGATGAAGTTGCTGCATCACGTAATGATGATAATGTTTTAGAAAACCATGTATTATTTGCCATAGCTGCACGTTCGTCATTTTGTGCTTTCAATAGATTCAATTCTGAATTGGTCGAATGCAATTTTCCAACTAGTTGCTACAAAGTAGAAAAAAATTTCAATTGTAAAAATTGATTCAATTAATCAGAAAAAAACATACCCCATTACGATCTTCAGATTCAGCTAAAGCAATCTTTGTTTTAATCAATTCGGATTCCAAATCAGCGATTCGTCTATAAAGATCTTGTTTAGCTTGATCTTGTTCTTCATACTGACCATTACTATTATTATGATTATTATTCAGATTGATCGAATCATCATTTTCTGAATGAATTATTTTATCGACAATTTCTGCACAATTATGACATGTTTTAATGTCATCAAGTATTTTTTCCATCATTCTACTTGAATCTTCTCGACATTTTTCATATTTTTCCTGATAATTTCGACAAATTTGTTTATATTCTTCAATAATTTTGCGATCATTCTTTGCTTTCAATTCGAAACGATCAATTTCATGACGATATTTATCCTTATTAATCAACAATGTAAATGTTAATTTAATTAAAAGTCATCCGCATTCAATACAGGATCAATCAATGTTACTAACCTTTAAATTTTTAAGCTCTTCACCCAATTGTTTACGATCATCTTCCGAATCGACCAATTTAGTTCGTGTCTGTAATAATAAGCCGTTAAGAGTGTCAGCTTTATCTTCAGCACGATCAACCTCAATTTTCATTCGTATTTTTGATTGACATAATCCCAATAGTTCCAATGCTTGGTCATCGTTTTCCTGTTCTAGCCGGGCAACCGTCTGCATTAATCGTTTATTTTCCGTTTGTAAAATTTCAAATGGATCACGATTCTTTTCTTGCCATTCCTTATAATGAGCTTCATATTTTTTCGCTTTCTATTAATATGATGAAAAAAAATAATCATTAGCAATTCATTATATAACCAACGAATCAATGACACTAACCTTGACATTAATTTTAATAGATTTTCGTATCAATTCTCGAGCCGAATCATCATTACGATAAAGTTTAGGTAAAGTGACACGAAAATATTTCATAATACCTTCAAAATCTAAAGCTAATAAATCATTTTTGGACATTTGTAACAGTCCTAAAGCAATCTGTAGGATAACATCCATTTCATCCAATAGAAACAAATCGATAATCATGAACACAACATTTAATGTGAATTTTGTTGTAAATAATGTTAGAAACCATTGTGATGCATACATATGTGCTTCGATATGTAGATCAATAAAATGGCAATAAAGTTCCGGTATTTGTTCGTCTAATAATCGTTCAAGTTGATAGAATTTACAATGTAAATTTTCTAGGCCACTTTTGAATAAATCACGTAAACCATAACGATACATGATTTGTACTAACACCAAAAAGGCCTGTTCTTCCGGCATATTCAACAGGAGAGCTGCAATTAGATATGAAAGACCTTGACAATAGCCAATTTCAGCATCATAATTTGAATATGCTTTACATATACGAAACAATGATTCTTGTTGTTCTATATAAATATAGTTTTGGGATGGAAGAAAAATTAAAACTTTTGAAAAATCAGATAAAAATTACAAAAAAAATTACCCGATCCAGAATCACGAAATTTTTCATGAGCTGTAAATGTTCGTGAAATATCACGTAAAATAATCGATTCATATGAGGATTCTTGTGTAACAAATAATTTATATTTTGGCAAAATTTTCTCCTCAATTTCATGTGCACGAGATAATAGCTGCCAGATTTCTGGCCGTAATGCTTGTGGAATTCCACCACGTCTTATCATGCTGGCCATTTGTCGTGGTCGTACAGAAAGATTTTCTTTATTCCATTTTTCCAAAATGTTATGCCAAGCTTGAATTTCATTCTGTGAACATTCACGTCGAACCGAACCGGATCCACTTTGTAACGGTTCATCATCATCCTCGGGCGGTTCATCTTCTGGCAACGGTGAACCTGGCGTTGGAGTTGAATTCTCTTTCGAACTTTCGGATATTTTATTAAGATTAAGTTGCAATGCTAATCGTTGTTTTTGCATAGCAATTTGTGTGGATGAAAGACAAGAAATTACTTCATAAATAATACGTCCATGCATATCGGGTCGTTGTCGAACAATTAAAGAGAATGATTCATGCATAAAACGTTGTGAATTTTTCGAAAGGTTGGCTAAATTTTTCAAAAATTTTTCAGTTGTCGATATTGATGTTGGAATGATTTTCGCTTTAGATTCGAAAATAAATCGAATTGGTTCTTCAATATTTTCTAGAATTAAATCTAAAGCAATGGTAAAATATACACGACTATTTCGTGCGGTTTCTGTATTCAAATGATCAGAATCAATTTCGGTTGGAATCCAACTGGCTACAATCTGCCATTGTGATTGTGTTGGTGTCGATTCTGGATTCGGTATCGACGAGCTCATCGAATTCAAACCAATAGCTACCATTTGATTCGGAGAAACGTTACGTCCCGGTGATAGTAACATTCCAAAACAACGTTCAATTCTTATCATTGGGAAATTATGATGTGTTAGATCCTGTTGTAGATTTATTATGATACGTTTATCAACATTGGTTCGAATTTTGAAACTATCCTTTTCTCGTGGACATGTTTGCCATTTTCCTTCTGTGATTTCTTCCTGAATTTCTACTTCGGCATTCATGACCACTTTAAATTCGTTGACACGTGATACGACAGTATTTGTCGATAATGGCTGAAATTGATTCATAATACCATGTAATTTACGAAATACATTCAATACATCGGTTACTACAGCCGGTGATTCAAATTGTGTGATCAAACATTGTTGATAACGATTTTGTTGTTGTTGTTTGCTCGTAGTACTAGAAGCTGGTTGTGATGATGGTGGTGAAAAAATTGTTGTCATTGTCAAACATTGTTCGACTGGTGTATTCAATTGACCACGATATAAAAATAATTGATTAACGAGAATTCTAATCGGATGGATTAATAATGATCGGCGAACAGATTGTAAATCATTTGGATGTAAATTGTCGAAAAATTCTTCATTACATTTTCGAATAGAGGAAAAAAATTTTTCCAATTGTTTTCCTGATGATTCATGATAATCAACAAATTCAATTTGAACAAAATCATTTATAGTATGTGGAATGTTGATTTCAATTTGTGGTAAGTAATAATCCACCATTTGATTATTATTCATTTCATGATTAACTTTTAATTGATGCATTGAACGTTCAACTTCTTGTTCGAAACCTTTTCGTTCATTTCGTAGGAAACGTATGCCTAATAATTGTGCACGAATCTGATGTATAAAAGATGATGATGATGATCGATCATCATTCGGTGGTTTAGATAATGGAGATTGTTCGGGTTTTGAAATTTTTTCATCAACATTTTCAACATTATTATTATTGATGTTTGAATAATCATTGTTGCTTTGTTGAACATTATTGCTTTTTTCCAATGGTTTTTCTGTAATGATCATTAGTGAAAGAAAAATGTCAATGAAAAATCAATATAATCAATAAACGAGTGAGCGAAAAACTCCCCTAATCAAAATAATAAACATACCAACAACAGGATGATCATCATTATCATCACCATGTGAAGCAAGAATTTCACATTTTTCCATTATTGTTATTTGAATTTTTTGGCCAAGAAATATTTTTCTCTTTATCAGATTTTTTATCACACGTGGAATGGGAAAAAAGCTCAATTCTATTCTGTATTTCACAAAAATTGATGATTTTTTAAATCACACTTGAACGATGGCGACGATGACGATGACAACAACAATCAAAATCAATGTTCATCGTTGTTGTTGTTGTTTTTATAATCATAGAATAGCGACGTAAACACAAACAGAGTGATGAATAGAAAATGAACTACATTGACGAAATTTTGATATGATTGAAATGGATTATTATCCGTCAAGCTGCCCACTGATTGAAATGAAAAATGAAAAAATTTTATTAAAATTAAAATCGAATCTGATGATATCGACCAATAAACCAAACAAAACGTACAAATTATAAATCATTGAGAGAAAAATACCATTTGTATATGTTCTAAAGGAATTTCAAGAGCTCAATATCGCGATTGTTTAATTTATTTGATGAATAAGAGAGAGAGAGAGAGTAAAAAAGGTTTAGCAGTGGAAAGTTTGATATAACGGTTGATTTATTATGACGATGATGTTTGTATTGGCCAACTCTGAATACTAAAACTAAAAATGGCAATAACAACAATTCTTAGAACTGACAAAATTAATTTTTTCGCTAAAACCACCCACCCACATACACACATCGGTATTAATAACAAAACACATAAATACATAAACAACATAAACAATAAAATGGAATCGAATACGTCAGTCCAAAATGTAAACAGTAAAATAAGAAAACAATTTTCACAACGATTTGATCTGTATAAATTTTGGTATATGTTTTGGACAGATGAAACAGAATCTTTGAATGAAATAACTGTCCATCAATCAATTAATCCTGACAAATTGACACCAATTTATCAAACAGTGGCGAAAATTCTTTGCTCAAATCACCAATCATCAACATGTGATAAAGAACAATTTTTACGTTCCATTGAAATTACATAATTTTTTCATCAATTATGCATCTGATATGATAATATCTATCATATCATGAGATTTTTTTATTCATTTTTCATGTGTCTACAGCAAAATAATGTTTGCCAAAAATTTCAACTCAAAATACAATATGGGCAACTGCGCATAGTCAAATAGTGGTGCATTAACTATTATGTGCTTCTTTTCCCTCTATTCTCCATACAAATTTGAATTTGATGTCGAACATTGAACTACTGGTTCGAAGACGGTTGTCCCACTTCTGAGCTTTATTTTTCGTGATCATGTCGAATTTTATCTGGGAACAAAGAAAAACGATTCAAGATTATAAAACATATTGCGGTCTAAGAACGAAACGATGAAGATCGTTTGTTCGGTCATCATGTAATTATGATTCAAGTTGGCGAACAAACTGACTTTCAAATGTATTTATGACATTTTTCATCAAATTGTATTCAATCACACCAACTTTTTCAGAGTCCATTATTATAATTGATGTATGATAAATGGAATTCGATTAATATATGAAAACATGGTCAATGAGGTAATTTACATTTTGCCTTTGATTGAAAAACTAATTTTCCTTGTCTTTTGAAGCATTTTCATTGATGGATATTAGACATATAATTGGTGCCGTCTTTAGAAAACGATCATGGTAATGATGCCGAATTACAAATTTATTGGTGGATATCTGGTCACTAACATGGTACGATGTCCAACGAAACATTATGTTCGTCGTCATAAAGCAAATAAAAATGTGAAAACCAATCGAATTTTCGAAAATAAATCATATATATCGATTAAATTACGGCGGATAAAGCGGAATGAAAAGCAAATAAAAAAATGTGAAAACCAATCGAATTTTCGAAAATAAATACGGGTATAAAAAAAAATTTGCTAATAACCGATATAGCCACCAATAGTGGTAATTTGCTCTTTGATGATGAAAATTTTTTTTTCTAACGACTATTTTGACTTGAAAAGCTTACTGAAGGTAGCATCAGTGAATTTCCGTTCTTGAATCACATGTGAATTTTTGTTTCGTCTTTGCACAGTTGATTAATTTTAACCAATTTCAAAATTAAAAATTAAATCCATACAAATTAATTTCTGACAACAAAATATGGCACAAAATGAAGGTGGAAATCGTATAATTAATATGGCAAAATCAGTTTATAATGATCCATTCATGTGGTAAGTGGATTTTATTATGAAATAAAAATTTTGTGTGAAGAAAATTTTAAATTCATTTTTTTCCAATTATTTCACTACTTCAATATAGGAATCTAGTGAAAAGTTGGGCGTTTTTTGCTGGTGGTGTATTCATTGCTCGTGAAGTTTTTGAATTTGATCCATCATTTGCTGTGGCACCACCAATGGGACCACCATAATTGCTCGAAGTTTCCAGAAATCAATAATTTTTTGTCTAGAATTCATTAAATCTCACACTAATACCAATTTTAATAGTTTTTTCTTGTCATTACTTAAAAAAACAATAATACAAATATGTATATGATGAAATAAAATAAAAATTTATTTTCAATAACAAAATTCAATTTCGAAACAAAAAACTTTTCATTCAAATAAACAATGATGACGATGATCATTTATCGATTGGTGTTTTACATGTGTCCTTTCGAGATTATAAACTAAAAAAAAAAGAAAAATATCATTAGAAAATTATCTTCAATTCATATTGATCGATTATGATTAATGAATCAAAATCCATGATCTAATTTGTTAATCTAGCAGATATTTATGAAAAAATCCCTCAATTGAGCTTGCACATTCATTGAATATAATAATGAATGACAAGCGCAGGCTTATCTGCATGGATAAATGGATCTCGAAAACGAAAATTAATAAACTTACCATTTTTTTGGTGAGAAAAAATCCATCCAAATAACAACCTGTATAGAGAGACGAGGAATATGAATTAAAACAAATGAAATACAATTTTTTTTTGCTTAATTATAACAAAAAGAATTTAAATTTCAGTAGCAGAACTGATAAATCATGGTTCATCAATTATAATGATTTGGTAAGTAGATGTTTTCATCATGGAATTTTTTTTGAGAAAAAATGATATTCAATTTCAATTAGAAAAAAATATTAACTCACCTCTAATGACTGGAAATATCCCCAATTGGATTATCCACAGTATAAAACCAGACTAAATCGAAAAAGAAAATGTAATTAGTTTCCTAATATCAAAATGATATTCTGTTGTATAATCTAAATTGACTCAAACTAACTAATAAAAAATTGATTTTGCAGAAATGGAGATACCAAATTCTAAATCCATTTTAATATGGAAAGATTTAGCATTCAGGTTTCTTTTTCTGCATATTCAGTGACACCAGTTGTCTACCATTTACAATTTACCTTGTTTGTACAATTTCAGGAAAATTTCGAAGCCATTTTAGAATCCTGAAATGAGAAAAACAAGAGAAAAAATTAATTGTAATTCATAAAAAGATTTCTGAATAAAATTTATGGCTACAAAAAAAATCAGTCAACATTTTTCTTCAAATATTTTTTCGGAATCCGGTAAAGCTATAGTTTTTTTTAATGGAGTGTTCATCCTCTCAATTTGTTAAAATGTATAGAATAACAAGAATTTAAAACTTACTTCTTTAATGGTGATAATTTGGTATTAAATTTGAGATCCTACATTCTAGAAAAGGATAAGAAATGTATCAATTATAAAATATAGACTTTGATTTTTTTTTTGTTAAAAACAATTCAAAGTAGATCTCTTCAATTGATCATGATCAATATTGGCATCAATAATGCTGAATGGAACGACCATTGATTGACCAAAGTACATCCATTGGATGATTATGCCGTTAAAAAAAATTCGAATTCAAATTATTCTCGCGTACCTTTCGTAAATGATGGACGATTGAAACCTGTTGATGATAAGAAAAAAATTGTATCAGATTTGAAAAAACCATAAATTGATCTATAAAATGTATACAATTTATAGAGAGTGCAATCGCAATTATGATTTAGGCATAACCAGTAAATGGAGAATCAAAATTGATGATGATGATCATCATCATCGAAAAAATTGAAATCTCTATCGTGCCAATGTTATGCCGGCTGATTAATATGCATGCAGTTAAAATTTAAATCTTACCATTAACAATTATCATCAGCCAGAAAAAAATATAGAACCCTATGGAAAAAAGAAAATAAAAAATTAGAATTTTGTTGAAAATGGAAATTTTCATTGATCAAAAAACAGAATCAAAATCAGAGTGGTGCAAAAGCCAAAAAAGCTTTTTGATCATTGACAATTGTCTACAAGTTGGTGGATTCTCATCATTTTTTTCTGAAGATTTGATCAATTTTTTAAATGAAAATTTGCTTACCATTTAACAGTGAAAAAACATAAATAATGATGCAAGAGAAATTTACAAAAATAAATCTAAAATGAATAAAATGAAAAAAAACAAATTGTGATTATTGAATTTCAATTAAAAAATCTAAGAAATGCATGAGATAAATAAATATCAGAAATGCAGCTATCACCAATGGAATAATAATTCTGAATTACGTCCCGTGCATTTAACAAATACATCATTTTTCTCAAGCAAAAAAAATTATAAGAATGAAACTCACCTTATAAGTCATCGAAATGATTATCTCTATCGACTACGGCTTGATCCTAAGCCACGTTTTCCAGCCAATAAATGTTTCTGTCTAGTAGCCGGTATCATTCGATCTGCTTCACCTTTACGTGCATTTACGGCCAATTTTCGTTGTGAAATCTTTAATAATTTTCGAGCCTTCTTTCGCATCTAAATAGATAATAATGAAAAAGGAATCAATGAATTATTATCAAAAATAAATAGTAATGAAGAAACCGTACCTCATCATTTTTAAGACCAATACGATCACGTGGGTTTTCGAGCTTGATCGTACACGACCTTCATCATCTACACGGCTCTTTTTCAATGGTGGTCGATGGATATCCGAATCCGGGATGGCAGCTTCATCAAAATAATTACTATCTTCATCACTTTCAATATCAACACCAAGTTCACGTTGTTCTTGTCGTAAACGTGATAAACTTCTTTCACGTTTTTTATTCGTTCGTGGCATTATTGGTTTATTCGTATTATTCATTCGTTGCTCGAATTTAAGCAATCCTTTTTTATCACGTATTTTTCGTGCTAATTGTCGAATTTCTTGCAGTTCTTCATCTTCGGATTCAAGATCAAAATCATAATAACCAGAATTTATACGTTCTTCTTCCTCACGAATCAATGCATCTAATTTGGCTTCAATATTTGGATCAACATAATCGGCAATATTTCTGCCGTTCCAAACTTCAGGTATGATGTCATATTTTTCATCATTAGGTAGATCATAATTCTTTTTCAAATCAAGAATATAATCTTCACGTAATTCTAATTCAATATCACGTTCTAATTTTCGTTTCGTTGGAAGAGTTAGTGGTTCAAGATTTTCTTCATCATCCATAATTTCATCTGCCACCATTTTATCATTCGTTTCCATTTGATTTCTTTTCTTCAGTACAGCTTCTGGAATGAATGGTGGACGTTCCTGTCAGACAAACAAAATTCAGTTAATTTAAAATATTGAAAAAAGGAAAGTTTTAGTTTTTCAAAAGTATAGTTCAGATTCGCTAAATTCAACATTATTAATTCTGAGTTGGATCTATTTTCATCTTTACTGTACACAACACACAAACACAAAATAGAACAAGAATCATTTTTAAAATTTACCTTATCATCTCTTGGCTGTGGCATTGCAATATGAAGACGATTTTCAAACTCTTCACCACGTTTTGATTTAGTTTTATGTTCACAACGATGTGCTAATAAAATATCACAGGCTTCATTTCGTAATTCGACGACACCATCCAATGTGGCCGTTGACATTTCATGTATTAACACAACATTTGGATCATTTCGTAATTCATCAAATAATTTGCCATGTTCATCATCAAGATCGGATATTTTTCGTACATCAATCTTATTGACAACAATTATTATTGGCTTATTCGAAAACAGTGGTTTTATATTATGAAATAATGATATTTGATCTTCAATTGAATAACCACATTGTTGTGAAACATCCATTATATAAATGATACATGAACGAATATGTGCCAATGCCGTAATTGATTGCATTTCAATTGTATTACGTTCTTCTAATGAATGATCAAGAATACCAGGAGTATCGATTACTTGCCAACGAAGATATTTATAATCTGTATGACCAACATATAATGATTTTGTTGTAAATGCATATGGTTGTACTTCGACATCAGCACGAGTAATTTTATTGATAAATGATGATTTACCAACATTTGGAAAACCACAAATCAACAATGTTCGCATATTTGGATCAATAGATGGTAAACGTGATAAATGTTGTCGTACTTGTTCTAAATATTGTAAATTTTCTGTTTGTCGTTTCAAAACGGTTACCATTCGTCCTAAGGCGGCTCTTTTGAGCATCTTACACCGGTACAGTGAATCACCATATTTCAATAATCGAACATAATCACGAGCGACACTGAAAAAAAATTTCAAAAAAAATGTTAATAAAGTGACTGCACCTCGTATTATAACGATAAAAAAACAAGGCTTAATTAGCTTTATTATTTTGAAACATTTGGTTTAGCATAATTTTGTCATGTTACCTGTAATGACAATAATGAAATTCTGGCAACATAAAGATATTATTATGCAAAAAAATGGAATGTTCATATGAAAAGTGATACTTACTTATCAATTAAATGTTTACATGTATTCAATTGTCCTAATGCTAATTTATAATGATCTTTATCATAAAGAACATTCATTAAATCGGCAAAAAATGGATGAATATCTTCAATTTTAGGAAATTCAGTCAATATTGTATCCAATTTATCATGGAAATTTTGTTGTGTAAATTTTACTTTACGCATATAAAATGAACGAATTCGTGATATTTTGAAATGTTTATGTACAACGGTTGGTGTTTTACGTTGAGTTTTCGATAGAATTATATCGATAAATTCTTTGTACGTTGGTACAATCGTTATACTTTTGAAACAATATTTCGAACCCATTTTTGATTAATTAATTCGATTGGATCAATCAGATGTGAATCTAGAGAATCAAAAAAAAAAAAAAAATTCAGGATATAAACCAACGTGTATCCTGGATGAACAATGATTAAATGTAGCGTGATTAAATAAAAAGAACGTGCTTATGTATCGAAAACAAGCATGCAGCATGCATACACATTTGCGGATACACAACATATGCCTGGATACACGTGATCATTGTCCTGATACATTCATAAAGAATGTGCACGATGATTCATCAAGATTTTGCTTTGCTTGGTTTGCTGTTCGTTTTTTTTCACATTTTTTGCAAGATTAAAATTTTACAAACGTCATAAAGAGATAGATTTTATTTTATTCAAAAACGAAACGAGAAAATAGAAAATTCGACTAAAAAAATCCTTTTTTTCTTTACAAATACAAAAATATGGTCATCGTCAACCACAAATTAAAGCTATTATAAGGGTTCAAAGAGAATGGAAAAAAATTTTTTTTTTTATGATTCTTTATCATCATTTCACATATATACCACACTATAATTCCAAAATGTCCTTGGAGCTTTTTTAAGGTTTGCAAATTTAAAAAAAAAACAGGCAGATTTGCACACACACACACACAGCATGAAAATTGACTTTTTTTCCCAAGGACAACTAAAAATTAGTGGATAATAGCTCACTCGTTTGTGTATAACCATTACAATAGATTAGGATCGTTTTCCATGCGTTTTTTTTGTTGTTGGTTTGTTTGGCTACATTGGGAAAAAAGTACAAAAAAAAAATTTCCAGCATGGATTAACCAAAAAAAAGAAAAAAAATGAAAAAAGAAAGAAAGAAATAAAATTCCAGCATTTTTTTTTGCTTTTGAAATCCCAGAAAAAAATTCAAGAATTTTAAATTTGTAACAAACTTTTTTTCGGATTTCATGCCTATCAAATTAGTATCATTTTTTTAATTATCGAATTAATTAATTAATTAGAAAATTGATTGAATTATTAAGAATTTTTGGCCGTTGGAATTTTTTAATTTTTTTTGTTTGTTTGTTTTTGGTGCTCATAACTTATCCTGCTCCTCTTTTTCTTTGTTCTTATGTGCTCGCTCACAAATGCGTAACGTAAATCACTACTACTACCACTATTGTATAATATTAACATTATTCATTGCTACTACGATGATTTCGGGCGTTTCCCCATAAAATTTTTGACCATTTTTGACTATAAAAGCCGATTGAAATCAACGAATCTTTACACTGCACAATTGGTTGCTCCTGTTTGATGGAGTGGTGCGTGTCCCGTCGTATACTGTGATTCGGCGGTTACACAAGTTAAAAAAAAATGTGTGTGTCACACTTTCCTGGCTGTCTTCCCCGCAAATTATGCCGGAGGTCGAACAAAACATTGATTTCCTCTTGAGACTGAGTAAACAATGGTCGTACTGTGGAACCCACGGATTTCAAAGTTCTGAATTTTTGATGAAACAAAAGTAAAAATTAACGAAAAAAAAATTCCTGAAGAATCCTGGTCCAGATGTAAATAGTGCTGAAAATTTTTTCATACTAAGCTCAACAATGGAGAATCATCATTAACGAATAAAATAATGGGAAAAAAAACAGAACGATACCTCGGTATTTATCGTTTGGTCAAATTTACTGTGGCGATTACATTCTCATTTTGTGTGGTACGGAAAAACTTATTTGGTCATCGTTTGTCGAATGCACGATCAACCGGAATTTGGTGGAACATTGGTGGTCTTGGTTTTCGAACAGAATTCACGACGAATTTTGTTTAACCGGTGAAAAGCATCTAAAAAAAAAAAATGTTTTTTCTACGATCAACTTTCATCGGAATCAATTTTTGTTGGCCGTTTTCAACATTGTTTGAAAATTTTGATTCATTTGTTTTTCCTTTTCCCTAGATTTTTGTATTCACTTTTTTTAATGATTAATTGTTTTTCCGTTTCCTTTTCATTTTTTATCCAAAATGATTGTAATTTTGCTTGTAAATTTGTTAATGATTTTGTACCGATGGGAATTGTTCAAGGATAACAAAGATAAAAACGTAAAAAAAAAAAATTTGTGTGTCTTTTTTTTTATTTCCTTTCTCGGGTGTTGTTTTTTTCTATAGAAGAAAAAAATGAGCACATTTTTTTTCGTTCGAGAATTTTCTCGAAATAAAACATAAGCCAAACAAAAGAGAGATACTTGATGGCTGACGTGACATTCGATTTTTTTTTGTTGTGTGCGTCGTTTTTTTTTTTTTTCGTTTCACTCGCGGAGGGAGTGAAACCACAACACACAGATTGATTACCGTATATTATCGGTTTTGTTTCATTCGATTATCAATCGTTTTTTTTTTGGTCTGTGTTTGACTGTGATAACCAATCATTTTTTTTTTTTAGATAAAATTTTTTGAAACAACAACAAGTTTTTTTAGCTGTTTTTTTTTTATTTATTTGTAATAATGAAAAAAGAAAACCAATTTTTCATAATACAACAACGACAACCATCAAAAATTGTAGATATCCTGTATGTGTGTATGAGTATGAATTTTTATTTAGAAAAAAAAGCCCCCATCTCATATCTCATATTTATATCCAAGTATAAGCAGATCATATATATTTCAGAATAATTCGAGGGATACTGATTGATTGATTAAAATATTAATACTAGAAGATCAATTAGAAAACATTCATTAGAAATCAAAGAAGTTAAACACGTTATTACATTTATGATTTTCAAAACATCACAATTTGTGACCATTAATAACACACATTGCAAAACAATCACATGTTTTGAAACATTTTCAACTATATCAAAACAGTAATATTTGGTAAATCTGATAAATTGATTGATTACGATAAACGAATTCAATCTAATAAAAAATATATATAAAGGCAATATATGATTCAATCACACGTAGATAAAGAAAGTGGACAGATATAATAGTAGTTCTATATTTTGATTGTAATGATGATAAAGTTATGTAGATATTTAGGAATGGAAGAATATTTCTCATTTTTTTTTTTTTCATCGGACGGAATCACAGACACTATTTCGAAATAATGGATATCATTCGAAATCGATGAATTTAAATGGAGATAGTGTTTTTTTTCAAATGTGGATGGATTCGTCTTTGGAACATTTTCTTTTTCTTTTGAAATTAATCACCAAAGATTAATTTTCAATAATCAATCATGAATTGAACAGGCATTTTCACGTAAAGCATATTGATAATGATGGATTAATGTATTGCGAAGATCATCTGATGACGATGAAAAACAAAAACGATTAGATTCAACAACAAAAAATTCATTGAAAAATACTAACCAAATGAAAGAATATCATTATCTAAATGTCCATCCAAATTGGTGATGCCAAATGAAAGCCAAAGAAACATTTCCAATTGTTTCAATGATAATGAACGATCATTGAATTGATTTTGATCATCAGATGAATTGGCCGCTTCTATGAATGTATCATAGGCTCTATGTAATCGTTGCCATAGATCAGGTTCCCGTGGATCGACAAGATGTGCAATAGCTTTTAAATGATATATTTTGGCATCATAAGGATCATTACGATCTTTATCATCGAATGTTTGGCGTTGAAAACAGAGCATCAATTCTTTAACCGAATATGATTCTGTTATATCAGGCAATGATGAAATATCCAATATAGCAAGTAATCTTTCCTGATCCAGATGACCATTCAAATCACCAATGTAACCAAAGATCTGATCAATAAATTGACTAAGATATTCAGTGTATGGCATCAAATCGGATTTTTCGTTTTTATGGCTACCATTAGCTAACAAACTATTCGATGATGGAGAAGATGTGGAACAAATTTTGCGAATTTTATCCGCCAATTTCATGAATTTGACACATGTTGATGAACGAAATGATCTGTATGAAAAAAGGGAAAGAATTAAAAGTCAAAAAAGTGGACATCAGTGAGAAAGAGTTGTTTGATTAACTGACCGGTACTTAAAGTATCGAGCATCATCATAAGAATAGAAAAGGCAAGGCAGACCTAATTCATTGACCAAAACTTTGGTAACATTATGGGCATATAGATCCGCATTTTTTCGTTCCTGATCGGAAGGTGTATAAACAGGTAATTTGGTCAATTCGAGATCGGTTCGCCATCGACACAAAGTTAGCCATATAGACCATGAAGTGTTTGGACCATCCCAAGTCCAGCTCAACGTGTCGGGTCCACCCGATTGATTGAATCGTAAAGCAACCGGTATGACAGGATAACCTAGTTTGAAGGCACCATTCTTGAATTGCAACAAACCACGATGATTGCTGCAAGTTCCTTCAGGAAAAAAGACAATTTTGAGTACTTTATCACTTGAGACACTTTCTTGAAGACGTCCTGTCTTGAATGTGAAGAATCACGTTCAACTAAAACCGGGTCGGAAAGTTTGAATATGTCTATTGTGAATATATGAAAAAAATTTAATGATCCAGACACGAATTCAAAAAAAAAAATTCTCTTTCACTTACTGCCAAACAATGGAATATTGACAATATCTGCTTTGGCTACCGATGATGGTACCTGCAATGCTACACCAGCCAATATATCGAATAATGATGTATGTGGAGCCATTATGTAAATGGGAGCATCTTTTTCTTTGGTAACGTCACCTTTTTGTATGATGGTAACACGATAAAATCCAGCCACAAATAGTATAGCACGGAATAAATGTTTAATAATATTTTTAAATCGAATTCGCCATTCATGATAGAGATCAGGTTCACATTCACGATCGATACGTGCTAACCATTGGTTACATAATTTCGATAAGAACGATGCAATCAAAAACAAAGTGATGATGATAATAATCCGGATTGGTGCTAATAATATCGAACCAATTATGACAAATGGCCAATCAAAAGGCTTTAAATGTATACGATGATAGAATGGATTCACACAACGTTGTTGTTGTTGTTGAGACATTGTTTGATTTGATTTGGTCATGAAATAAAGTCACATGAAATCGAACTGTCTTAATATAGATCAATCATTGGAAAATCAAAAAAAATGAAATGAAATGAAATGCGTTGATTTTTTCAGATACGATGATTGAAGGTAAAATGTGATTTCTTTTCTTTTTTTTGTTCGTTAGATCGAACATTCCATATTCAACAGTTTGTATTGTACATTTTTTTTGCACAAAAAGAGATAATAAAAAAACGGATAACGTTCCAGCTGAACAATAATAATGATCATAAAGGCAAAAAAAATGTGGATGTATTGCAACAACAGTTTGTTGGTCACCGGGTGAAAGATAACAATAAAATCCAAAATGGCTAAGGGAAGAGGAAAAAAAAAGCAATAAATATGTTAGTTATTAAAATAGATTGTCACCAAAGCAACCATACCCAATAAATTCAAGTTTTTTTTCAATAAATTTCAAAGATCAATTATTTTGTGACCGAATAATGATTTATACGTTGACGTTTTTCGAAGGTTTTATATCTGAATTAAATGGTGAAGAAAAAAAGAAAGGCACACAGGAATGTTGGTTTGATTGGACAAAACCCAAACAGGTCATGGTGTTGTTTACATCACGTTACGTGTACCCAAACACATTTATATAATGATGATCATGATCAAACTTGATAGTGTTTTTGATGTAATGATCGAATGAATGGAAAAAATTGAAGTAAATATCAGCTGCTTTAGAGCTGAAACTGTCCTCTAGTGGCCAGAATATGAAAGAATGTGTGTGTTTTTGACTTTTTATTCCAATCAAAAACAGTGGAATTTTTTGGCGCTATAATATGCTGCCATTTTCAATTGAATATTTTAATGCATATTACTGTTTTATATTTAATTGCAATAGAAAAATAAACAAAATAAACATCAATATAACTAATCAAACCAAATAAATAAACAAACTGTCAATAGGTCGAATCAACGAAATCAACAAAAATCATGCTAATGGCCAAATCAGAATTTTCAAAAATTCTATAGTGATAGCTATATAATTGTGGAATGTGTGTGTGTGTGTGTGTATGTGCGGTGGACCCTGCGATGATGTGCGTTCAAAAAAAAAAAAAAAAATTTGTTTGGCATAACAAACAAACAGACAAACAAATAAAAGGTTAAAGCAATGAAAACATCGAATGACAAGCATCCGACACAACAACAACAACAATAACGTTAGCAAGTAAACTTTGGTATTTCAAATCGAAATACGTTTATTTTTATTATTGTTATGAAAACACATGATGCAATGCAATGGTGAAATTTTTTGTTTGATCAACAAATAATTTGTCCACCAAACAGTTCCATTTAATTGATTTAAATATATAAAAAAAAAATTTTAAAGGGTAAGTAATGGAAGAAGAATGATGAAGATGATGTTGATGATGATGGATGTTTGGAGTCATTCCAAACACATTTAAGATCGGGTCGTAAATATGCGTATCGCACGGATTGCAATTATAGCATGATGTGAATTTTTTTATTTGTCTGCATTGCAGTTGAAATACCGAGATGTAGATTTTATTAGTCACTAGTCATCAGTTTGAATCTAACTATCGTTCCAATCTAACTACTATGTCTTATCCTTTTGTTTCAATGAAACATCATGGCCATCGTTCCAATAAATGTTCGAAAAAGAAGCAAGAATCCGAAGAGATGAAGATAATACTTGAACATAATGATATTTATCTACCTGGTCAATATATACGCGGTGCTATCGTATTCAATTCGGTTGGTGAAATACCGATCAATGAATGTTCAGTAAATCTTGTATGTATGGCTGAAGTTGGCTGGACAGATAATCCTGGAATCAAAGATGAAGGTCGTTCATTTCATATTAAACACAAATTGATGGATGTACCATTTGAATTGAGTGGAAATAATGGTGCTGAATCATACTATCAATTGGGTCATCATGAAATTCCATTCGAATTCTATTTACCTGACAAGTAAGTTGTTGTTGTTTCAGGCCATATCAATGAATAATTCATTCTGATTTTTTAATCGATAGTATGAATTTACCATCATCGTATCAGAGTCGTTTTGGATCGATTGTTTACTATATCGATGTTAAAATGGGTGAAAAAATTAAACGACGAGATATATTGGTTGAGATACCAATACAGAAAAATCTATGGCTATCGGTTGGTGGTACATCGGAAAAAGATTTTGGTGTTTTATCATTCGCTTCTGGTCGAATTACCATGCAAGCTACATTGCGAAAAAAAGGATATTTCCGAGGTATGGATTTTTCATTTTCAAATAATTATTAGAATTCAATTCAATTTGTTTTCTTTCATGGTGCTGAATCATACTATCAATTGGGTCATCATGAAATTCCATTTGAAGAAGATTTAATCAGAGTCGTTGATTACAGAAAAATCTATGGCTATTGTACATCGGAAAAAGATGGTGTTTTAATTGTACCATGCAAGCTACATTGCGAAAAAAAGGATATTTCCGAGGTATGGATTTTTCATTTTCAAATAATTATTAGAATTCAATTCAATTTGTTTTTTTTTCTTTCAGGAGAAGATTTAATCGTTGATTATGTCATTGATAATTGTTCGACGGCAACTGTAAAACCAAGGGTTACATTATTCCAGACACAAATCTATATGACAGGTGAACGACATAAAACCGTTGAAAGTTCTTTGACCGAAGCGGTTGAAGGTGATGAAATCGGTGCACATACTTTAGTCGATGATGGTAATCTTACCGTTGCAATACCAGTCGATATACCATTATCAATTAAATCCGAATACATTACATTGAAATATTTTTTACATCTTACATTGGATATACCATTGGCTATTGATATACACATCAATCTACCACTCACTATAACAACCAGAGCTGCAATGGAAAACACTTTTGATGATCGTCGACATTAAAAATGAGCCATTGATATTACACATTTATTTTATCATTTACACTACATAGAGTCATCGATGCAGATCAATAGTGTGTCATTTTTGTTGTTTTCATCAGTTTTTTTTGTTTATTTATTTTTGTGTGTGTTTTTTGTAGTTGTAATAATTATCGTTGAGCAAATCAAATCAATCAATCATTAAATAAATATTATTCAGTCGTAATTCAAAAAAAAAAAAAATTTAACGTGAAATTTGTCTCTGTAATATGGGATTGTTGGCACCCATACGTTGCTGAGTGGGATCGATTCGTTGACCATAATGATTGTTAGTGAGTGAAACCAAGAAAGGAACCTCCATTGATTGGTCATTGTTATCGGGAATGTTGTTGATAGTAATCAAAACATAGTATCGAATGGTTATCAATGCAGAATCAAGGCTTAAAACCAGATTGTATGGTAAACGCATCTGAATTGGTTCATCTTGTACTTGGCTATTGGCATCGATCGGTATCATAACTGCTTGGCTCATTTCATCATTATCATCACGATTTGGTGAATCATTAAGGCATTTATCGTAAATATGTTCTTTCACCTGATCACTATTTTCACTATTTATAAGGGTTTGACGTTGATACATTGCTACTAAACATTCCATCGGTGAATCACTTTCATTACGAATCGATAAAGAAAACGAAAGCATCTCCCCAGGTTGATAAATTTTACGATCCAACATGACCGAAATATCGATACTGTTGCCATCGTTCGTGATAAATGTCTGTGTTATTTTACGTTCAACTTGCCGCTATATCCAAAAAATTTAAACAAAAAAATGAATTGAATGAATTGTGCCACACAACGCCTACCAGATCAAGATTGGGTACAAGCAACAGAATCTCTTTTTCACCGCGGCTTTCATGGCCTTTATGATCATCATCGATGGTGAATGCTTCGATCGTATATTTGATTAATCCATGACAGCTTTTCATACTCGATGGTAGATCCCTGTACCCCAAAGATCATAAATGGTTAGCTGTAGCTAAATTATTCATTTATTACTTACGATTTTGGCAAATGAAATCGGAATGGAATTTCGTGCTTACCATCCGTCAATTTTCTTTCTATGTTAAAAAATGTTGTAAGCTATGTACAGAGAAATCATATACTAACCTGGACTTAAAAGATCCAATTCAATCACTTTATGTCGATAGAAAAACAGTTGTTTTTCGTCAATTATCGGGCTGCTAAAATAATCGGCAAAGATGCTTTTGCGACGTTTTTCTGGAACAGATGACATTACGTTTGATGGTCGTCGTGTTTGTGGTTGATTACACCAACGAATCTGTACCAGATTAGTGAGCATTACTTTTACCTGGCGAACCGGTCTACCGCCTTGTATTTCAATCGATAGATGACCAACAATCTCTTCATTTCCAAAATAAAGTGGACGTGGATCTTTCGATCGGGCCATACGTCTTGTATCGTTATCTAACCATACAAGTATGATTCGACGATTTTGACGACGATTAATACGGGTCAATTCTTCCTCTTCCACTTGTTTCATCATCAACATCAACATCATCATCATCATCATCGAAAAGATTACCAGAAAACATTGTTCATTCACAATAGCTGAAACCTAGAATCAAATAACCGGAAAATCAATCTAATTAAGAAAACAAAAAGAAAACGAATTCGAATAATAATAATAAAAACAAATTTAGAAACCAAGACAACAACTGCAGCAAATAAAATCGAGTTTGAGCAACAATGTCTACTTTTTTTCTGCAGAATATTTATTTTTGTTAGTCGAACAAAAGAGAGAGGCAAAGACAAACATAAAAAAACAAACTAGATGATGAGATTCTCGTTCAAGAATATAGAGAGAGAGAGTAAGATGTTGGCCATATTGCCAACAAATTTAGTTTCATATATGAAAAAAAAAATTCAAATCCAAGTCACATATTTTATAGCCATAATAAAAAAAAACAAAAATTTCTTCTACAGCTGCATTCAACTATGTATGTTTAGCATATACAAGGACATATTCAAGTGTTTATTCAAGTGAATGATGCAAAAAGATTGTAGAATTACCGAATGTGTGTGTGTGTGATGCTCGAATTGTGTCGCCACACACACACACACATACCGGTAGGTAATCCATTATTTACCAAGTAATTAAAATTTAGCTAATCGAATGTGACTAATCAACCGATATAGCATTTCTATTATCATCATTGAAAGTTGGGATAAACTACATTCATCATTGTATTTTTTTAAGGACTAACAATGATTTGAAAACAGGCGCCCAAACTTGATGATGGGGCTACCATTCATAAAAGACGTGGTCAATAAATGGAGCACGCAAATTATTATGTACTTTTTGGGTACACTTTTTTTTCAGCGTTGTGCTGCCATCGATTTTTGTGACTCAACGTTTATCGATTTTCATTATATATAAAAATATCTTGATTTTGTTATTTGGTTTCAATTTAATCCAACTTCACTTATATTTGAAAAATCATTCGATCGAGAACACACGTACCATAAACATACGCATCAATCAGATTTTTTTTTTTATTATTGAAACAAACAACGACTTACAATAACCATGGTGAAAGCAGTAGTTGTATTGAAAGGTGAACCGAATGTCACTGGTACTATTTTCTTCGAACAACAGGTATGTCTGTGTTTTATTAATCAATTAGTTTGTTTGAATGATGACTATTGATTAAAAGGATAATGGCCCGGTAAAAGTGAACGGAACCGTTCAAGGATTAAAATCTGGTTTACATGGATTTCATGGTAATAATTGAATGATAATACCTGTCACACAATAATGGTGACTTTATTTTCTTAAACATAGTGCATGAATTTGGCGACAACACTAATGGCTGTACATCGGCTGGAGCACATTATAATCCATTCAATAAGACACATGGTGCACCTGCCGATGAAGAACGTCATGTTGGTGATTTAGGCAATGTTGAAGCCAATGACGCAGGCATAGCTAATGTTGCCATTGAAGATTCGCTTATCAGTTTGACTGGAGAAAGATCAATTGTTGGACGTTCATTGGTCGTACATGCTGATCCCGATGATTTGGGACGTGGTGGCCATGAATTGAGCAAAACAACCGGTAATGCTGGTGGACGTCTTGCTTGTGGTGTGATTGGTGTTACAAAATAATTTTATTTGTGTTTTTTGTTCAATGTTTGATTTTACCAAATTTTTGGCAATAGCCAAATGATATTCCATATACAATAATCATAAGAAAATTCAGTTGAATAAAACGATTTTCTTCATATGCACAAACAAATACTCGTTTCATTTATTACGCATGCACCAGAATCGTTAATGATCGTAATCAAATGTCGGTACATTCGACATTTGCTTTCTAGCTACCTGTCATTTGCTTCCTACATATCGGATCGTAATGACATCCTGCTTTTCATTAAAAAAAAGTGTTATGCAACGATTAACCATACTGTTTGCCAATTATTCCAGCCAAATTAAGGCTGATGATGATGATGATCAAATCAAACAGCATTCTTTGTCGATCTTTGTTAATACGACAACCAAAGAGACTGAAGAATCTGTCAATTTAGAATATCAAAATTCAAAATGGTGGTCTATTAATCCTGATGTTGTGTTAGCTTTTGGCCTAATCATATTCTATGCTGTGTTCGTGTTGTTCATCCTTTTCATTATCCTGAGGATCTTAGTGACCATCTGTATGACTACTACGAATCAACAACCAAAAAATAATAAAAGACCAAAAATCAATATTCGATCAGAATATGGATCTGAATCATCATCGAATTCATGCCGTACAGGCCATTCTTTATCGATGGCTATGATGATGGTGGATATTGTTGATCCATTACGACCACAACATAATCGACATCGACTACATAACCACCATCATCATCATCATCATAGTGATTTATCATCTTCATTCTTGGATCCCCATCACCATTATTATCATCATAATCATTACACAAATTCACCATCCAATTCGTTTATCAAAAGTATTACGAATGACCAGCAACAACAACAACAACAACAACATTCCCAGCACTGAACTGTAAGTATATGAACAAGATGAGCCTAAAGCTATTGTCGTTTTGTTTTTGATAAATGAGACACCTATTGTTTGTGTCCAATTTTAAATAATTGGTGACAAAGTTTTTTTCTATGTGTGTGTGTAGTTTGTTCCAATTTTTTTTTATATGATTTGCATATATGAAAAATATTATTTGCTCTCTGAATATTTTTCAAGTGTTGACAATTAATTTTTTGATTGAAATTGCACACTTTTTCATCAACAATCACATTCATGTGTTTGTTATGTGAATTTAGATGAGAGAGAGAGAGAGAGAGAGAGAAAAAATTCAAAACTAAGTGCTAAATCAATCTTTATGTGTTTACATAATAAGGATAATATTAAAAAAAAAACTTTAATAATTTATGGGTCAAGTGCTCTTTAATTTTTCCAATGTTGTAATGGTTATGGACTTGGAAATTAAATAAAAAAAAACCGTCAAAAATGCGTTTTTCCTATCCATCCAAACATTGAAAAATAAACAAAAAAAATAACTTTGATTTATTAATAAATGGTTCAAGGGTTGGTTGGTTGGTTGGTTGGTTGGTGGGTTTTTATGTGGATTTTTTTTCCAATATGATAAAATTCATGCTCATTTGATATAATTTGTTTTTGTTTTCGTATTTATTTTTATTTTTATTTATTTTTTTTTGTTCAAAGGATGCTGATTGTATGTGATTGTTGTTGTTGTTGTTGTTGGTTCAATTGGCAAATGTTCGCATTTGTGATCGACGTTTTTGATGATGGCCATCTCGTTTAACCATTTGATTATTGTTTGAATCAAGAATTATTCGACTTGAATGATAATGATAATGGTTGTCTGGATTGTTATCGTCAGCACTGAATGCAGGATTAATGTAGGCATTCGAATGTGTTGTTGGTGATTGTTTAACTTGACCGGAATTCGATTTAAGATAGCTAGGAATACGGGACACATTTTCATTAGCGGTTTTGGCACTAGTCTGTACACGAGGTATATGGAATGGAAGCCAATTAATCGATGATGTCATCATGGATGAATCTTGAACATTACTTCGATTACAACGACATTGATATTTAGCCGAAAATAAATTGCTAATGGATAGACGATTAGAAAATCCATTCAAATGATACCAAACAATATAGTAAGCTAACGGCCATCCAATAAGCCATCCAGCCCATACATCCCATAAATGATTACGATAAGTGGTAACACGTGACATGGACAACAACACACCGATAACAATAATGGCAACGGACAACGACAATCGAAATAATTTTGTGGCACGATAATTCAATGCTGCAGTCGTATAGTATACAAGAAATATAGCCGTATATGAACTTAATGTGGCCACAATACTTGGCATTGATTTGCGAACATCGATTCGTTGGTCATCGGCGATGGAATTATTATTCCAGCAAGTTATGTTAGAGTTGACTATTTTTCCATGACAAAAATCTGGACAGATATCCAAAATGAATGGTCGGTATTGTCCCGTTTGTAATTTAACAAAATCGGCAATAATACTGCATGCAGTTAACCCAAGAATGAAACCGGCTAGAATAAAAACACAAGATTAAACAAGATATAAATCATGTAAACAATAAATTATCACTAAACGTACCCAGAATACGACATGTACGACGTACACTCAACGGAATTGATAAATTTATTTTAGGTACAATGATTGATTCACCGTGATCATCATGATCTCCATGAACTATTTGACGAATAAGAAGACGATTTAGTTCCAAAAAGATAATCTGTTAATGTGAAAAAACAAAAATTATAATCCAAATAATCATCTGTGGATAGATAAGATTGAATAATTAGACTTACGGCAGCAATTGGTATGATGAAAACGAAAAGAAAAAAAAGAAATTCAGTGCTAGATAGTTTGTCGAACAATAGTACACCTTCCGTATTGGAAACCACTTTGAATGGCCAGCTATATAATTCAGGAAACATACAGACCAATCGTTTGGAAAACCATGTTTCTATTGGTTTTATTTCATCGGTAAATCTTAAAATAATGGCCAATGCTAACATCATCATTAATATCAACGTATCAAATAAAGTGATCAACATGATTGAACTTGATTTCCGTGTGATTGATTTTCGATTAACAGAAGCAGCAGCAGCAGCAGAATTAGGCGAATGGCCACCATGATTTTTTTCGATAGTCGAATGAATTGAATCTAATGTTGGAAATCCATAATCACCATGATCTATATTTGCTGATTTATGATGATGTTGTTGATGGCGAACATGATGAATATGATTATCATCATCCATATCTAAAACGAATGAATTCCTAGATGCTGGCAATGATGATTTTGGTCGATCAGATTGTTGTTGTACAATTGATTTGTTTTCATATACATCTGTGAAAATAATAACCGTAAGTGGTAACAACAAAAAAAAAATTGATTGAATACAGATCAAGTACAAATTAATCAAATATACAATTTTCACTTAGTTAATGTAAATTCACTTGACAATGGAATGTGTATGTAATATAGTAGAGATTAATTATTGCTCAAACAATGCTAAAAACAATGAAATGATAATCACACGGTATCGTGTCATTTCAAGAACTAGCAACTTGTAAAATATGATCCATCTCTAAGGGCGACATCATGATCCATGATGCTTTTTTTTAAACGATTCTCAAATCAAATGATTTGTCAATAATACACTCTACCTGTTTGATTGGAAAACGATTGCTGTTTTGTTGTTGTTGTTGTTGTTGTTGCATATGTCGTTGTGATTGACAACTACAAAGCGGTGGTTTTACACCATCAATACCATCATCCGTACCACCGCCATCATTAGCGGTGAAGGCCATCGATACTGTAGATATGGAATCTAATTTCATTAAATTTTTATTGTCAGCATTCTCTTCTGATTCACATTTGGAATTTTTTGAGCCCATTTTTTTCAATCCAATTTTTGTTGGGAAAAAAAATGGATGACACACCAAGTTCTTGTAGAACAAGACCTAAACACCTGTCGTGCTCGAAATGAGTATGACCAAAGCTAACCTGGTAATTAAGGTGGTTCATTTGAGCACATTCTTTTTGACCCATAGGCCTATTTGCTGTTGGTCAGCCAGACCACGCATGATACAGATCATATGCATTGTTTGTGTGGCTAGATTTGTTTATCCAAAATACTGAAACAACCTACCTTGTGTGCTAATGGTGATTGGCCCATCGTCATTCGATCGAATCGATGGACGATTAATCGATTTTGGAATCGTCCTCAATGATGTCGATATCGAAACAGGATGATGATGATTGTTATTATTATCATTAGTATCGTCATCGATGATGCTAATTGAATTTAATGATAAAGATGGAAATGATCGATTCATTTTTGATGATGATGATGATATAATAATCGATTGAAGGGTGAATAACATCGTTTAGCTCAATTCATTACACGTCTAATATGAAAAAATATCTCTCTCTCTCCAGGAATTATGCCATGATCCTTTTGGATGAATATTGCCAACTATGGGCAACAACAACAACAACAACAACACTGATTCATTCGATCCACAATCCAAAAAAAAAAAAATTTCGACTCTTTTGCGTCCCATTCCTACATGTATGTCTGTATTTGTGTGTATGTTAATCAAATGAAGCTCGAAGAAAAAAATTCTTCAAATTAAATGAATGTTTCATGTTTTTGATTTTGTTGCTGCTACATCATCATCATCATCATCATCCATCATAGACTTTGAACGACGTGAGCACAAGGTTGTCTAGTTCATTGGTTTGAAAACACTGTGAGCATTATTATAACTATGTCATTTTTAAATGATGATGGTCATTTATTCATATGCAAAATGAGAGTTCTCATCATCATCATCATCATCACTATTGAGTGTTTGATGAATTTTCATTCATTCAAACAAAATGTAGCTTTGTCCAATTAATCAATGCTTTGTGTGTGTGTGTGTGTGTGTGTGCGTCATGCATAATACATGTGTGAATCCTTGACAACTAAAAATGTACCTGCTTCTTTTGTTTTCATGATTTTGTTTATATCATAACCGATGTATTATAACCGACAAAGAATGTAGTATTACACACATCTCAAATAATCATATCATACTCTAGTCATGTATATTAATTCGATATGACGTTGCATGGCTTAATGGTAATCCTCCATCCTATATTTTGACGCCTAAATAATTGAATGGAAAAATTTGATACAAAAACTTACTACAAACCGATCAACTGATTTTTTTACTTTTTCGTTTACAATTTATGTCTACAGCATGGGAATTGAATTAACCAACAATGGACAACATCATTGTGTCAAAAATCAAAAATCATCATTCTCAAATGAACAATGGTCAATGGCTAATGATCAACGATTCTATGGAAGAATAGTTTTGACATTAATTTATGAAAAGTGAGTAATGATTAAATGTTTTTATTTTAATTTAATTCTTTTATATTCATCACATTCTACATATAGATACGAAATTCCTATCTTAAAATATTGGGGAATAAGAGAATTGGCCAGATTCTTCAAATATGAACATTATGTATGTATGTGTGTGTTATTGTTGTTGTTGTTGTTATTGTTGTTTTCTCAATCTATTCATAGGAACAAATATCAAAAGAACAATGTCGTAAAATATTACTTCAATTATCAACAAATGGAAGAACTTTAACATTGGATCATTTTTTTAGCTTATTACATATGTCACGATTCAATATGGCTAATCCAATACATCAGTCGGAATGTCATAGTATGAATAAATCATTGATCAATTATTATGTGGCCACTTGTCCAATTTTATCATTGAAATCCAATGATCAGATTGAATCAAACATATTGGCCAAATACGATTGTCTGTTGTACAAATGTCGATGTTTTCAATGTAAGTTGTGTTTGTTAGTTGTCTTTTGATTCAATCATTCTAATAAAAATTCTATATTTGAAAATTGCTGCTAGTGAAACTTGATTGGAATAAAAATCAAATCGGTGTACTTGTGAATCGCTCGAATCTAGAAATGATTGGAGTCAGCCTAAAAACTTTACTCAAACACATGGTTGATTATGGATTCAATGAGAATCCTTGGCCCATTCTATTGGTATTGGATTGTAAAAATCTGATTCTTAGTAACCGGATGAATGAACTTATTCAAACACTAAACAATACACTGCCCACTCGACGAATGTTCAACGAATCGACAACAGCTCAAACCATGTTTGGGTATAAATTTTGTTTCGTGAAAAATTCCAATCAAATCACTTGGCCTTCATTACAATCATTGTGTCGAAAATTCATTGTAATCATTAAACATTCCGATTCGATGAGCACAGTGTTCATGACTGTTGACAACAACAATCTAGATTGGAACAATACCAATGCTCAACAACATCATGATAATCAATCGAACACCGTACGATTGGCAAACGAACAATATTGTGTTCTTTCTCTCGATTCAAAACGTATTATCGATTCGATTGAACGAGATAAAGATGGTTATTCGGATGATTCATTATCGACATTGACTAGTAAAGCATTCACTTGGACCAATCAACAGTCATCATCATGTCGTTCGATAGATTTGATTCGTATGGGCATTCAATGTATACCATACAAGACAGATGTTGATGATGATGACGTTGATACACAAGTGGCTCGATCATTTTTTGATTCAATGAATGGATCATGTGGTTATATACTCAAACCAAATTCATTACGACATGGTCAAATGTATTCTATTGGTGTAAGCGAAGATCGTTCACTACCTGGAGAACCATCAACTGGTCCAACTCGATTCATATTGACAATATATTGTATTGAAGATTTAATGCAATTTGATTCATTTATAAATCCAATGAGATGTCAAGTGGTCGTACAGATAATGGGCCATCATGAAGACAGTTTTCGTTACGTAACCCCAACATGCTCCACTCAAGGTAAGCGACAATTTAACAACACAAAGTGGATGGTCAATTATTAATTGTCATTATTCCCAACAGGACAAATACCATTTTGGAATGAACAGATTCGACCGGTTATTCGATTACCTAATTTTACATTCATACGTTTTGAAGTGTACAATTGTTATCGATTAGTCGCTCATCGAACATTACCATTCAAAGCAATGATGCGTGGAACTCGATTCATTACCTTGAATGGGATTGATGGCAATAACAATGGAAAGCTATTTGTTCATAGTAATTTCAAAAAAATTGCATCTTGTTGGTCACCAGATTTCCATGCTAATGGCCAGCAACAGCATCATCATCCAAAACAAAAACATTTTATCGATTGTTCAGATATCGCTTTCATTGATGAAGACAATGACGACTATGATCAAGACTAGTCATCTGTGTGTGATCTCAAATTTAAAAAAAAATATTTATTGTTTTTTTTGACATTAAAAAAAAGTAGATTTATTCTTTGTTGATTAATTGTAACAAAATTGACATAAATAAAATTATTGAATTTGTTCCAACACTCCTTGATGAATTAATTTCTCACATTTGGATAACGGTAGATAATGCTAAATGATAACGATGAGAATAGAGTTAGAATTATTAAAAGTGACTAAAAGCATTCTATCTAATATAAAGGTTTATAATTACCATACTATCCTTACTAAGAACAACGGTATTTCCATCATCCAATTCAAGTGGTCCATAATCACTGATACAACGAACCTGAACATATAATTTTTTCGGTGGATTACGCATCAATGTCAGATCGATACCTTTGTTATCGTTCAAACGATTCATGTAATCCGAAAGATTTCGTGAATAAGCAGCAAACCATTTGATTTCATCTTCTGATAGATTACATTTTACTTCATCAGGTAATATAGCACCCAATTGCCAACGAATTTTTTTTAATCGTTCCAATCGATGATGACTGTACGAGAAAAAAAATCAGCGATTTTCATCCATCATGATGGTAAACGAGGCAAATACTTACTGATAGGCAAGCAGACATCGTTTGTTCCAGAGAAAAGCACGTAGATATACTTTGTTGACCAGGAGACGATTCTGGCTATCATAATTACTTTGCTGCTCGTCACTTGTTGGTGCTTGTTCATTGTCCGAATTAAGTGATCTGTAGTGTAATGATTATAACCACGATTGAGGCAACAATATGATCATGTACTCACTCGAATAATGTTTGGCTAATCAAACGCATCTCATCGAAAACTTCGTTAACCATCATCTGATTGTATGGAGCGATTAGTTCGGAACTATCACGGGTCGATTCTTTGATTAGATCGACACATTTTTCACCAAACATTTTTATAGATTTTCTTTATTTTTTTATTTTTTGATCAAAGATATTAACAGCATGAAGACAACAATTAAAGTTGAGATATCGCGCCACACTCTGGCAACACATTCACAGAGGCTGTAATGATTGTTGTAGAAACACGTGACCACCGTTGTTCTCGTACGTGGCTTATTGGTAAAAGTCGTCGAATATCTTGAGATAAATCATGGATTTTTTTGGATCAAATTTTGTTGTCTATCTAGAGACATTGGTAAGTGAAGACCAATCTTGTTGATTGCTTTGATTCAATTGTGTTGAATAACTTTGAACAGAAATTTAACGACGCTCAATTGGCCTATGCATCGACTGTTCTCATTTCAATTGCACCGTTTATGGTGCTTTTCCTGTTTCCTATGGATAATACGGGTCGTTATCGAAATCGATTACGTTTAGCTTTAAGTTTCGCATCCGGCGGTTTATTAGGTGATGCTTTTCTACATCTAATACCACATTCTATGAGTGAACATCATCATTCAGATCATGGTCATCACCATGATGACCATACGGAACATCATGATCACGATCACTCCCATCATGACCATCATAATGAGCATCACTCCCACCATCATCAAACGAAAGTGGGTCTGTACATAATCGCCGGAATCATTATTTTCTTCATCATTGAGAAATTTGTCCACCTGGTTAAAGGCTCAGATCATCATCATCATCATCATCAACAACCACAGCAACAGCTTCAATCACAATCATCCTCAAATAAAAAAAAGAACAAAGCAAAGCCGGTTGTTGAATCAAAACATTCAGATTCTTTAGATAGCAGCAAAGGTCGTCATTTGGTTAGCGGCATACTAAATCTGATTGCCGATTTTCTACACAACTTTACCGATGGTTTAGCCATCGGTGCTACTTTTGCAGCCGGCCATGGACCACAGATGGGCATCATAACTGCCGTAACAATCTTATTGCACGAGATTCCTCATGAAATTGGTGATTACGCTATTCTCATTCAATCGGGTTATCGTCGACGATCAGCCATTCTTTTGCAATTAGTAACAGCCGTTGGAGCATTGATGGGTACTGCCGTTGGTCTTCACTATGGAACATTGGAACATGCTACACAATTCATTCTACCAATAACTGCCGGTGGTTTCATCTACATTGCTACTGTATCAGTGATACCGGAATTATTGGAAACAAAAGCATCCAGCCATGGACAATCGATTACAGAAATATCTGCATTATTAGTTGGTGTTGCTATGATGTATGGTATCGCATTGAATGAATGATTGATTGAATAGATGTACAGATCAAGCTCCAGAACATCGATCTTTTTTTAAAATTAAATTCTTTGTTTTTTCTTTATTTTCATCGATAATTAATTAAATTTATTTGAATTGATAATGATTAAACCAATTGCGCCATCCATCGGTAGTCGATACAGATATCAGCTGGTGGGCTGATATCTGTATGGTGGTCATATAGAATGACGAGTACGTGATTGCCTCTGTTTTTTAATGATCTGTATTTTGTGTGTTTATGCATGGTTGATGTTTGTTTCCTCCCCATATGTTTTCACGATTGCGATTGCCATTGATTCTGGATTGGCCATCGCAATCGTTATGATGATCAATTAATATATTATGGACAAATTGGCCAATATTACACACGAGTTATGAAAACGTGAAATCCGCCGAAAAAGTTTTAAAAGAATTCTATACATTATATCATTAACAATCAGCCAAAATAGCCAGGTGCTGAAAAGGCCAAAGACATCATCCGAATGACAATCGAATAAGTCAATGAACCACTCCCCTTGATGAACTAAGTATTGTCTCTACACATGCACAACGTCAAACGATATCGATTTGTTTTGTTTTTTGTTTTGTTTTTTGATCTATTCGAATCATTTCTGTTCACGTTTTTAAGCTCCCGAGTGATTGAACATCAATTGATTATCACATTTAAATACACATATAAAGTGAAGAAATGATTGCCAACATCAAAGGAGTATCGTTCGAATCAAAATAATTTTTATAAACTCCCATCATAATTTTTTTGTTGGCGAAAACTAATTAATCATTAATTAAAAACCGGATCATCATGGCTCGCATCAGGTATGTTTATTGACTTTGATCTTGAATTACCATTCAATAATTATGCATCTTTTTCAGAGACGAATGGGATCGATTAATTGAACTGTTCGCTGAGATAGCAATACCACAATCAAACTCTAATGATTCGAATGGTGGTGAAGAAGAGGAACCATGGATTCTACGCACATATCCAGCTGATTATTCAAATCGTGAAGTTCTTGGTTCAGTGCCACATTTTGCCTATCCTTGCCCTTTTAAATGGTATGCTATATTGGCAATATAGTGGTTCCAAGATTGATTCGATTTTTTGAAATTTAGCGATGTGATCACACATTTTTCATTCGTATTGACGAACATGAAATCTAAGTGGACGTTCGGCTATTGTCGTCATACGCCCGATAATGATACCTGTTTGGTCATACTCAGCGATCTTCCTTGGCATTCCACATTCTATAAAATATTGGATCATTGTGCTGAATTGGCCACTCGAAAGGTAAGATTGCGATCTTGTAACATTAACATTTAACACTAACCGATCATTTAAACAGTCTTCCATTCCATTGGAACGATTCCTAGAATCTCTGTACACAAGTGATATACCACAGCCTGGATTACAGCTGACCATTACGTATACGGTGGAGGATATTAAACTAAAAGAATTCAGTGCTCCATGTCCTGATCACCATAAGTTACCATCGATTCCCGAAGATGTAAGCATAATTAAATCAATGACCCATGAACATTAATAATTAATAATATTTTCCGATACAAATAGCGTAACATTACAGAATACTATAATGCCATATCAGCATCCAATATGATCGCTATATTTGCATCTATGCTGAACGAACGGAGAATTGTGATGACATCCGAACGGCTAAATCGATTATCGGCCTGTATACAGGCAGCCAACATGCTAATCTATCCGATGCATTGGCAGCACATCTTCATTCCATTATTACCACGTACTCTTATCGATTATTTGACTGCTCCAATGCCATTTTTGATTGGTGTTCCACAACAAACGTTTGAACGACATGTTCGATTAGCCGAGTTAGGTGAAATTGTATGGCTAAATGTGGACACTAATCAACTCAATACACCATTCGATGATGTTTCCACTATACCAAGTGACGTATTGCATCACCTACGTAAATGTTTTAAACAACAGCAGCCTGCTGCATTACTTGGAGATGGCTTAAGCCGAGCGTTTTTACGTGCACTAGTTATGCTAATCGGAGGCTACCGTGAAGCTCTTACATTCGCCCATGGACAGCAGATAACATTCGATCGAGACGCTTTTGTATCAAATGTACGAGGAACGTCACGTCAATTGTTCCTGGAAAACATGCTACAACTGCAGATATTCCAGCAGTTTATAGAATCAAGATTAGACATGCTGAATCGAGGCGAACGTCACATTGATCAATTCGAAATTGAACTCAACCACGCCGAACATAGTGTAGGGGTGACCAATAGTCGTTTTCGAAACCAATATCGCGAATGGACAGCAACCATGCGTAAAGAAGGTGGTGCCTTTCTTCGAGCAGTCAATCCCCGAGTTAAATCGGCCTTATTCCAAGGTAGACAAGCCATCCGACAGTTGCGGCAGAAGATGACCAACAATGGTCCAGTAAATCATGGATCCAATCACGTAGACAGACCAAGTAGTGAACCAAGTAGTCCGAAATTGCCGCCAATTATCAAGAAATCAATAAGTGGTACCTTTGTGCCTACATCGACCAGTCGAACGGTTACTTATGTACGTAATCCTTCGTCACAGTATTCAAATACCGGGACAAATCGAACTGCCCTTGGAACGAGATCTATACCAAATGGAAGCGGGCAACAAACAAAGAATGGTTGTTTGGCACCATCTATAGCTTCATCTGAATCTTCGGACATTGAAGATACCGATGTGTTCAGTACTCCACCATCGACATTGAGCCCGTATAAACATCGGTCACAATCAGAACAGCCAATGTCAACCACTCTACGGCAACAGTTAGAATGTTTATTCAATCAAACAAACCAGGAAGAACAATCCAGAATAACGAATAATGGTTGCCCGGAATCTTCGAGCAATCGCCTAGCGGTTCCACCACCACCACCACCACCACGTACTAATCAGCTTACCACAAAAACGAGACCAACACTTAATCTTTCTTCCGGTACAAGTGAAATTGGTGGTCAGCGGCAACCTTGTCTCATTGAATTTGATTCACCTCCTCGAGATGTAGCCAGCGGTTCTGTTCAAACAGCTGGTGCATTCAAAACATATCCACATCATCATTTTATGTTTGATCCATTACTCGAAACGAATAACAATCATAACAACAATAACAATTCAAATCCGGTTAATGTTACACGTGGCGAACATGATGAACAGCCATATGAACATTTATTAATGATGGATTCACAAGAATCTACATCGCCATCGATTCTTCCATTGCGTGTATCTAATTCAAATTTTTATGTCACCACAAAACCACCGGTTGCACCAAACAAATCTAGATCGTCAAACGTTGGTAGTGGTGGTGGTGGTGGTAGTGGCGCTGGCGCTACATCCAATCATAATCGTTATGGTTGGCAAATGTTTGATTGATTACCGGAAAAACATCTGTATATATTATTTATATTATATTATTTGTTGAATTTAATAAAATTCAAAATTATTACAAATATGATTGTGTATGTGTGTGTTTGTTTCATCATTTATTCATTACGATATTTTGTCACGAAATCGATTCATTCACATATTTTAATGACCTTCCTATTCTATCTTCTCATCATTGTCATCAAGAAATATTAGATCTATCGATAATCAAAGATATCAACAAGAGAATAGATGAATAAATGATAAAAAAGAAAATTAGATTATATATAATTATAATGATGATGATGATGATGATGATGATACATGACTGATTCGATTGAAAAAAAAAAAAAAACATTTGATTTTATATGATTTCATCAAATCATCATAAATCATTTGAATATGCTACCAATGATGATGATGTATAAATGTTGATTCGAGGTTAACGATGATGATGATCACAATAACTTGACTATACTATATATGATGTATTTGTTATATGAGATGCAAATGAAAAAAAAAGATGAAATGGTGATCAATCAATTGATGTGATTGACTACCGATCAATTGTTTGAATTGAAATCAAATCGAACACACGCACAGAGAGAGAGAGAGAAAGATCACTATAGTCACTAGCCTCATTTATTTGTCTTGTTTGTCTTCCTTATAGTTTTTGTTTTAGGCCAATTGTTTTTTTTTTAATGGTCAAATTGGAAAAATTATTGACAACGAATAAGAAATAAATAAAAAAAAATCATAGTGAATGATCATCATCATCATCATCATCAGAAAACAATAACCATTTCATTTGCATAATAAAGCTCGTGTTCATCATTATCATCCTCATTAAGTTGGATTATAAAACATCGTGCATCATATTTCATAATTGGAAATTATATTCGCTTGAATCATTTCTGAGAACAAAAAAAAAAGATAACAAAAAAAAAACAACAACAACAATAATTTGTTATTCAAATTCAATTTTAAAGTGTTTTTTTTTTTTTGTTTTCTTTTCAATCACTTACATCATACATGAACGATACACTTGTTATGTTTTTCAAAAAAAAAAAAAAAAAAAAAAAAACATTCGAATCGAATGTGTCATCTATAGTGCCATTCGATGAATTTGATAATGATGATGATGATGACACTCGACACATTTGATATTTGTGCTAATCTTTCTAATGTGTGTCCAACAACATAATCAATCAATCAAAAAAAAAAAAAAAAAATTAAAAATAGTGTGTGTGTGTGTGTGACACTCGAAAGGATTACCATCATCATCATCATCATCATCATCATCATTTGATTCTTACAATGTCTATAAATACTAAATCGTTTGTGTTTTTTTTTTTCGTTTCGGTGGATTATTGGGACAAAAAAAATTTTTTTTTTTCTTTTGTTCAAATCCATGTCATATATAATATAAGATGTTTAAGATGATTAGATCGAAGAAGGAAGAACTTGTCAGCAATTGTGGTTTATTATTTTTATTATTTTTTTTCTGAAACAAAGCGATTCAAGCCAAGATGATGATGATGATGGATAACTTAATTTTGTATGAATAGACGCCAATATCTACCGATATTTGGTGTCATCAATGCTGCAATATTTTTTTTTTTTTTTGTTCTGATGATGCTGGTCAAGGTAATTTTAATCACAAAACCAGATGGGCGATCTTATCTCTAAGAACAAGCCAGCCTAGTAGAGAGAAAAATCAATTTCTTTTTCTCGCAGTTACTGTAAAAATATTTGAATTTTTTTTTTCAGTTATCGAAACCAGAAAAATAAAGTAGTTTTCTCTCACTTTTTTTTTAGTTGATGGGCAAACGAAAAAAAATCCCAATCATCATCAATGTGAATGAACGAAACTGGTGGATGGAAATTCAATCATCGAACATCATCATCATCATCATCATCATATATAATGAATGAATGGTAAACATATTTCAATTAACCAACGAATACACAAAAATCCATCAGTGTGTGTGTGTGTGATAAAGACAAATATTTGGCTCGATAAATCCATTCAGCTGCTTGTTGATTTGTATGTGTGTGTGTGTCTGTCTGTGGGTATTTATATCACGATCTTCGGATTGAAAACACAGAAGGAACTCAGTGGTCGGTCGTTCGCATGGAAATTTATGTTATGACTACTTTTTGACGATCATGATCATGATGATGATGGTGATGGTGGTGGTGGTGGCTCTGGCCAAAAACGAAAATGACCAGATTATTGAATGAAATTCGAAAAAAAGGGTAAAGAAAAACCCGTTATGTATTGTGACCAGTTATAAAAAAAATGTATTTCAAACAATTATACAGACAGACATTTAGTGATGTTGACATTAAAATCTCTGTTGTTGTTGTTGTTATCGTGGTCGTTTTCATTTAAAAATTGATTGATCTAATATTTGACAGTGGTGGCCATCTTATTTGATGATCATTCTATTCGTGATGGATTAAAAGCATTCAACTACCAGTTTGAACAAAATGAATAAATGAAAATCAATGGAAAAAATGTCTATTTCTTTTTCCCCTGGGCTTAGGGAAATTGTTTACATTTGAAGGCATTCAACTACAACAACAACAACAACAACAACAATGGATGCTAAGATAAGAAATGATAATGGAGATACGTCAACATTCGACAACAACAACAACGAAAAAAATTGAAATGAATGAACGAAAAAAAAAATCTAAAGAAAAAAAAATGAAATGAAATTCAACAAATAAATTTTAAATCATCATAAATGAACAAAAATTCATACCAGAAAAGTTTTAAATGTTAGAAAAAAAAGAGATAAATCTGGTTCCTAACAGAAATATGATCCAAAAAAACACTCGAACAACAGGATATCTCTAAATCTACCTTACCTGGTCATATGTTTGTTGTTATAGCTGAGATTTTTTTTTTATCAGCGCCCTCGAAAGAGAAATTGTTCGAAACATTCTCTTCGACATTTTTCTCCGATGATAACGATGATGATAAAAAAAAAAAAAAACATTGAAGAGACGACGACGACGATGATGATGATAATAATCTTCGTTGTTTTCTCTCTCTTCATCACTCTCTTTATGGCTTGTATCACTTTTTTTTGTTCTCTTTTTTTCCTTGCTTGATCCTGAATGAATGAATGAACAACAACAAGTCTAGCGATCCACTTTGTTGGAATTTTTACATTTGTGTTGGATTCATCAACAACATTACGACGCGGTGTGTGTGTGTGCAAAAAGTGGTTGATTGTTGCTTGCTTACTTTTTTCCAATGTGGTTTCATCAGTGTGTGTGTGTCAGCTGTGAATGGTGGTTTTTCAAGATTCTTTAATCGAAAAATTTTTTTTCTTTTTTACATACCAGATTAAATTGGGTGATGATTTTATAATCATGTCCGTTGTCCATTCACATTATCGTCATCATCATCATCATCATCATCATTTTTGGTATTTTGTTTTTTGTTTGTTGTTATTTTTATAAAAATCATCACAATTTGGTGATTGTTAATGATGCAAGTTTGTTCGTATGTTCATCATAGTCAAATTTCTATACTCTTAATCATTTAAATTGAACAAGAAAAAAAAGTGGCTCACTATAGTATCGAAGTAACAAATTGACAACAACAACAACAACAACAACAATCACCGACGACCATCGATCGAAATTAAAGTGAAAACAAATTTTTCTTTTTTTTTTTCTGTAAATCGAACATATATCAATTCAATCGAACCTACCGACAACAAATGTTACATGATTATAATTGTAATCAACAACAACAACAGAAATCCCCCATTGATTAAAATTGAATTCGACACTTGAACACGTTGGTTTAGTTGGTTAGTTGGTTGGTTGGTTTGTTGGTTGGTCGGTTGGTCGAACCAATCAACCGATCAAGCCATCATCCAAACTGGCAAATGAAAAAAAAAATTAGAAAATTTTCAATCCACTTTTAAGCTCCAACGATTCAATCATCATCACCATCATAATCTTATACTTTCGATGAAACTTGATTTTTCATCTGTTGACCATCTTATGTCCTGGATAATTTAAACGACCCCGGACAACAACAACAACAACAACGTCACTTTCTTCGGGCGACACAAATTTAGCAAACAAGTGGAATTATTTCGTCTCTCATCCATTTCATCTTGCACTGCGCTATATTATATTATACTGGATTTAATCAACTTGTTGTAGCCGTGCACACAACTTACGACCACGTTCAATGTCCGATTGCGTTTATTACTTATATCGTTTTGTTCCATGCCATTCTCATAATCATCATCATCATCATCATCATCATGAAGATGAAGAGATAATCTTTGACCATCACTTCGGATTTAGTTTTTTTTGTGTGTGTGTGTGTGTATGTGTTTGTTTATATCATAATCATCAAATTGAATTCTTTTTTTCTTTAAACAACAACGACGAAAAACAACAACAACAACAACAACTTCATTTGTTCTGTTGTTGACCGGTTGGCCATCATTAAATTAAATAAGATTCATATATGAACACGTAGATCTCTCTCTTTCTTTCTCATCTATTCAGTGATTGTCACCAAACCAATTTATACTAAAAAAATCACATAATGTATGTTTCTAGGTTTTATAAAATTGTCTCAGTAAAATCGCCAAAATGAACAACATTAAATAATTTAATTAAAATTTTTTTTTTGCATTGAAATGAAAAAAATCAATGGTCCAATCCACATACAATTCAACAACTATCACATACTAATGATTATTCATATTTTGAATGGTCATAAAATTCGACCAAGTGTAACCTCATTTTTTTTTTTTTTCTTCTTGGCTAAATTCTGTATTGTGTTTTTGTGTGTAAAAAAAAAATTTTCATTTTTGTTTCTCATTGTGATCAATTGTAGAATAATCAAAAACAACTTCCGGGTATGTAATAACAACAACAACAACAACAAAATTCAACAATTACCATATCAACAAAATCATTTGCGTGTATGTTTATATAAGCATTTCGATCATAGGTAGCTTATTTGCAAATCATCATCATCATTTGTGATTGATGATTGAATTTCATCTCCTCTTTTCCATACCAGCAGTTAATTTATAGGATATATGCAGATTTGAATATATCCGAATGTTATTGAGCTACTGACTAGTTTTATTTAATGTGTGCGTGTATGTTCGTTTGTCTGATTAATTAATTATTATCATTTCACCATTCTCGATTCATTCGGTCGGCACGACCGATCTGTACAATTTGTGTGATTGTGTGCTAAAAAGTGTCTATATTTTTTTTCGATTATGTCATTATATTCGAGATGAACAAACGGAAATATACGTTTTTCAATTTCAAATAGTACTGTTCGTGAAGACATTTTCATCATCATCATCATCATCATTTTTCACTGTACTTACAACATTGAACACGTTATATTATTGATAAAAGGTATGTATTTTTTACTTTAATTTATGTCCCACACACACACACACACACACAGATTGAAAGATACAAAATTTCAATTTTATGGAACGTGCACATCTGTTTTTTTTAATATAAATAAAAAAAAATGCCATCCATTTAGTAATAGTGATGATGAACTATTTATCATCATCATCATCATGGTCATTATTTATTTCACTAAGGACTTGGTATATGAAAATTTTGGGTTTTTTTCTTTTCAAAACTCTTTACATCTGATATATAGTTTTGTTTTAGTTCTGAATTTTGAAATTATTTTATTTACAATATATATAGAGTATTTGTACAACGTTGTACAAATAACTTGTGGAGAACAATATGTTTGTCTTTGACACTTGAAATGTTTGTACAGTAAATATCGGATTCTAAAGTGGTTTTTTTTTTTTTTGATGATCAATCATACTATACTACTAACTATATAATACCACATATATGCAGATATAGTTTTTTGAACAAGTGAATTGAACAAATAAACATTGGCTTTGTATCAATATTGATAATCGTTTGTTTGATTTTTTTTTTTTTGTTCAACTGTACTGTTAATATTTATAGCCACAAAAAATTCTCTTACACAATGACGATGGATTTATCGAAAAATCGATTTATCTCACCCTTTGGGCCACACATTCATTTTGGATGTATGTTTTCGATTGTTCCAAATCATTGAATCCTTATATTCATTGGATTTATGTTTCCGTTTCGACAAAATGTATTTATTTTTTCGCTGTTTTTTATTTCGTTGTTTGTTTGTTTTGCAATTTTTTTTTTACTGTGATTCAATTCAATTCGATTTATAGCAGAAAGTGTAATGTTTACAATTTTTTTTTCTCTTTGACGATCACGCTCATTACCCATTTGAATGAATGAGGTTGAATGTCCATTTTTATTTTTGAACATCATACATACATACATACATTTAGTTTGTGTGACTGTGAAAAAAAATTTTTCCTTTTCATAATAATAATGACGATGATAATGAGGGTAATTTCGATGCTGTAATAATAATGGTTTAGTATTTTACCCGGTCGTTTCCTAGTCTATTTACTATCTTTATATATACAGTACACATCAGTCTACATCACATTCACGCACGCTATTCAAAATACAAGATAAAAAACCAACTTGGATTTAAAGAAATGAAAATGAATTGCCAATTGCCGCTGGTATAGGCAATTCATACAAAACAAACAGTACCTTTGGGTGAAAATTGAAATTTCATTTTATTTTTTAATCTTAAATCAAATATAATAATTAATTGACCATGGTGGAATGAATGATAAATGACGATTGACAATTACCTTTCAGTACAATTTTTTTTTTTCATTCGTTTTATTTGTTTCCTGTTTTCATTGATCGTGTATCGATTGTTTATGAATTTTTGTTGTTGTTGTTATTAATGGCCTAAATTGTTGATGAGCCAAGTAATTTATAATTCAATGGCAATATTTCGTAATTTGAATCTTTAATTTTTGAGAAAAAGATGGAGAGAGAGAGAAAAAAAACTAAACGGATATGTAAATTATTACATCATCATCATATTATCTTTATGTATGTTGTTTATAATCATCAAAGTTGAAGGTATATTTTTTTCCCATCATTATGATCTAGTTTACTTTACTATTTAATATTCTCATATCACATCTTTAATAATTGGCCAAATAACTTGAATTTCAATTTTGAAAAATTAAAAATCTTCTTTTATTATTTACGAATTGTAATCGGATCGTATGTGTATGTATGAATGAATGAATAAATGAATATATGGTACATCTGTTGCTTATTTTTTTTGTCGGTGAGGATGATGATGATGACCAAAGGTCATTAAATGTATAAGGTGCACACACACACACACACACACACCTGAACTTGTATCCATGTACCTATTTCATTTCATTTCATTTTCTTCAACAAAAAAAAACATCATCATCAGATGTTTAAGAACATAGAAATTCAATCATCAAAGAGTTTATTTGTGCCGGTTATTATTATGCCAAGAAAAAAAACGGGTACTGATTTTCTTTCATAGAAAAAAACTAGGTCAAGTTATGAACATACACACACACACACCATCATAATAATAAGGATACAAATATGATGATGTGTTTTACCTGATGTAGTATGTTTTCATTCATTCATTTATTGAGCATTCATCCTGAAAACAGGGCCAATTTGTTGAATAATAACAATTTGTGTGTTGTGTGTGTGTGTGCTATATGATGAATGGTTCATCATCATCATCATCATATTCTCATTCTAATATCAACTATTTAAACATTTTTTTCTGGGACAACCAACAAACAAAGGTTACCTTTTTCTTAAAAAATACTACACACACACACAGACATTCGTTGTTCTGGTAATAATTTTTCAATTGTGGTAATTATATGTGGTTATTTACAATGATTTGATTTTGAAGTTCAAAATTTTTTTTTCACTAGAATTTCGTCCTTTATAAAACAATCGGATATTGTGCCCGATTGATGTGTGTGTGTGTGTGTGTGTTTTCTTTATGTGATGATGAAATTAAAAGTAGCAAACTTTAGTTTCATCTTTTTTTGTTTCCATTAGCAATGATTGTATGTGATTTAGTTTTTTTTCCTATTCAATAACTAATCCAAAGTAGTTGAACTTGTCTATTTCGTTTGTGACACGTGTTTTTATTTTTTATTTTTTTTTTGTATAAAAGTATCACATTCGAAAAATAAATTCGACTGAATGACTGACTGACTGACATGGAAAAACAATTATTGCTCATTCATTCACTAAATATCTATCTATCTTTTTGTCATCATTTCCAATTGTTTTGTGCTTCTCGATCATTATTGTTGTCTTTACCTTTGATGATGATGATGATAATGATGTGTCTTCCCTTTTGGATAAGTTTATTTTATATATTTATTCTGAATAACATGCTCGAATTAGAGATGTGTGTGTTGTGTGTGTGTGCATTTTGATACAGGTGAAAGATTTACAGATTTGTGTTTCATTACAATAGCACCTTTCGTTTCAAATGTCAATCTTGTTGTTATTATTGTTGTAGGATTTGACCCATAAACAAATACAGACAAATAACCATAATAATATTCGGTTACTTGATCAACTTATAGTTGTAAAAGAGAAAAAAAATTGGATCCATTTTCTGGCAAAAAAAAATTCTCCTTATTAATCATTGAATCAGGATTGACTTAATTTTGTCGAATGCAAAGTGAAAAAGTTTTTCATTTTCTCTATATGTGTGTGTGATTCATTAAAATCAAGCTTCTTTTTATTATCTCATCACTTTCCATTTTTGTCACCTTTTTTTAGCACAGTTAAAAAAATTTTTGAATTCAATTCAAATCATGTCTACACACACACACACACACAGATAAAAACATCGATCTTGTTAGTTGGAAATTTTCTTTTTTTTCCATCATTACAATCGTATCATCATGATAATAACAACATTTGAAACAACAATAGTTTAATTTTAAAGATTTACAGATCTTTTAGTGACATCGCGTTTTTCATCGCTTGATGATGATAATATCCGAAAAAAAACAATATACAAAATATAATGTATATATGACAACTTTAATTGTGTTTGATGTCATTTATGGATGGCTACAATTATTTCCTGTCAGACAGTACGTTGACAATAATGTTCATAAGTAATTTTCACGCGACAAAAATGCTCTATTTTTTTTCTCGCCTGAATTTTTCAATTCACTTCAATTCAATTGTGATTTTTAATGTTCATTTTTTTGTTGTTGTTGTTGTTGTTTAGAACTCATGTTATTTTTATGATTCTTGCTCAGGAAAAAAAATGTCAAATTGTGATGATGATGATGATGATAAAATAATGAACAACATCAACACAACAGTCACATTAACATAAAAATGTTGGATTCAATCAAATGTCTCCCTAAGAAATCTTATTATAAAAAATGTGATGATGTTTTTTTTTACAATTTTCAATTTTTTTTTTTTTTTGATTTTCAAAACTTGACTTTTTGTCATTATAAACATCAATATATTATATTCTTATTCATTCATCACTATGCTTTTGTTTTTCACTTGTTGAGTAATGAATGGATGAATGAATGAATGAATAACTTATGCAAAAGTCCTAGTGAAAAAGCATATCAACAATCATCACTATTGAAATGTAATTGTCATCATTTGAATTTGTATTAATTTAGCCATAATAATGATTGTAATGAGAATATAGCATCATTTGATTGTATATATGGATATTGATGATGATGATATAAAATTGACCATGTTCAGTCATTTCATCAATTGATTATACAATAATATTTCATTATTGTCTTTTTTTTTGTTCTTTCAAAAGAATGAATGGATAAATCTCTAGGCAATATATATATACAATCATCATACCAATCTGATCGATCGATTGTGACATCGAAATAAATTCAAAAATCAAAACAATAGGATCACAGAAAAAAAACAGTCTAATAGTAGTAATGTATTTTTTTCTTGTTGTTCATTTCTCCTATTTCTTTCTATGTGTGTGTGTGTATGTGCCAATTCGTCAATTTTTGTTGTTGTTATTTCTGTTGACAAGTTGATTGTTTCATCATCATCATCATCATCATGAAGGTATATCATATGATATGATATTATTCTGAAAAAGTTAATTCTTTAATTATTTTCTTCTTTTTCTACTTTCACATATATGTGATTAAATTATTTCTCTCTGCTGAAAAAGAGTGAACATTTGCCAAAGAAAATCTTTTTTTTTCTGGTTGCCATGGTTGCCGCCGTCATCGACCCTATGACAAACTTAATGTTGACTTTCAATTTCGTAAACGATGATGATGATATTATAATTGTCATTTTCATCAGGCCATTTCATTTATTTTTATAAACAGGTGTTTTACAGGTGAACAAAGAGGCTAGTTTTCAGTTCTGGTTTGTCGATTAAAAATTTCGTGAATGATAGTATTTTCATGTGTGTGTGTATGTGTTTTTTCCAGCAACAAACATTCTTCTGATGATAAATATGGGACAAATGAAATTGACTTGCTTTATCCTATCGTTATTTATAGAGATAGTTATCATCGAAAGACAAGATGCCATGACAAAATTGTTGTTGTTGTCCTCTATAACACCCCGTTTGTTTGAAAATAAAAAAATTTAATGAAAACAAAATGAAGACACACCGGTTTTTCTCAACCCTAAATGATGATAGCCAAATCATTGGCTGTTAGAAAATTCACTTTCATATAAGAAATGAAATCTCGTTTTTATAATAATTTAATTTTAATCACTTGCGGCCGGTTTTTTTTTTTTGATTTAAATATAGTGAATAATGATTAAATCTTTATAATTAGGATAGATTGCATTTCAAATTATCATTTTCCATCCATCAGTTCATGATATTGATCATGACCGTACCGGTATTTAATTTTATTTGCGGTCATTATCCTTTAATCAGTACACTGCACTCACCATAAATAATTTTTGATGATTTTGTTAATGATAATTTTTTTTAAAACAAACAATAGATCCATAATTAATTGTTTTCAATATTTTGTTTTTCTTACAGATTTTTTCATCATCAGAATGATTAGTCGTCGAAGAATATTATCCCGATCACGGGATGAACTTATGAATGGCCAATATCCAGATAATTATAATCCATATGAAGAAGAAGAAGATGTCTGGTATTCCAAAGATAAATTATTAAAGGTAGGTTGTTGTTTTGTTTTTTAATTTTGTTTCATTCATTATAACTTTTGATACAAAGAAAAAACTAAACGTTCACGTTAACCGTACGTGTTTATGTGACAAACACTTGTTGAATACGATATATCGATGTTATCATATGTTGATCATAAAATTTTTTTCTAATTTTATTACTCACATTATCCATATATAACAAAATTGTATTGAAAAGCATAAGGAAATCATCTTTCTTTTCATGTATTTCCTTTTGTTGAAATCATGTCAGTAATGAATAGCCATCATCATTTTTTGTCGGCGTCGGCAGCAATTTGTCTTGTTATCATCATAATGATTGTTTATTGTCATCATCATCATCATCATCGTTATCGATGTCAATGTCCATATGAAGAGAACATTTTTTTTCATTCTTTGTTGTTGTTGTTGTTGTTTTTGTTATTGTTCATCATATATTGATTCATACAACAGAATGATGATGTTTTTTCCTGCTATAGCATTGAAGCTTCAAACAAAGAGAGAGAAAGAGAATGATGAATGAATGATGGATATGATTTTCTCAATCAAAATCAATGAATAGATGAATGAAAAATTTCAAATACAACACGACGAAATCCAATGTGTGTGTGTGTCTGACCATAAACCTTGATCTGTCTGTCTTGATTTCATACCAATGATGGAAATGCTTTTTCATCAGAATAAAACTTTCAATTTTTGCCTCCGCTCCATACACCCTTTCCAAGAAAAAAAAATGCTAATCCATTTGGATCAGTAGCATAGAATTATTATTCTGTTCTTTTTATGGCAATTATTATATGTTCAATTTTTACTATTTTTTCCTAAAATCAAGCATTCATTTCAATTTCATTTTTTCTTCTTTTTTCGTTCATCGATAATCAAGCATGATGATGAAAAATGAGGTCAATCAATTTCAACATGGTCATGATCATAATCATTACAAAAAAATGCATCCAAATTGTATATTACTCTTGTTGTATGGTGGTGTGCCAAGATTAACTTTAGACTCTTTTTCCAAAAAAATGTATGCTCCAATGTCTGTATGAATAGCTTGTAGCCTAAAACATCGAATCGAGGTAAAATCAATTTCATTATCCAAATTTTTCGGGTTCTACAAATCATTTTTAGCATCAACAACAACTCAACACACACACACACACACACACGACTATATTTATAAATGGATATGCCCTTTGTGACTAATCAAATCGTTCAAATATAATCATCTTCAACTTGTTTTTGGTGATTTTTTTTTTGTTATTATTATTTTCTTGGCGTCAACATAATGCGATATCATATTATCGGTTTGGTCATTAGGTCAATGTTGTGAATGGCCGTTAGCATGGTCATTATGTTCATCATCATCATCATCATCCTGACCATTGAATATTGAAAAAAAAATCACATTCGATCGATCGATTTTTAACATTTTTGATCGATTGATCAATCCATCATTTGTTGATCTTTCTCTCTATTTTTCTCTATCCAATGTTTGATTATTAATCAAAAAAAAAAAGATTGAACTTCATTGCCATTTCGTTGAATGAATTCGCAGTCTACAAATTATTGAAGACTTTTTAAATTCGAAATTCAATTCATTTTCAATACTCTTTCATCAGATGGATGGATTTAAGTTTGAATTCAGAAGCAATTGAAAAATTATGTTTTTTTCTCAAATCATTAATATTGGACAATGATGATTTTTTTCTAATAATTTTATTTTGTCATGAAGAAACCTTCGAAAAATTTTTTTATTATGTTCAGGTTATCTAAAAATATTTTATATCACAATTGTCTGTGAATCATACAACAACATCAATATTACAGTGATCAGATCACACAGTTAACATAATAATAATAATGGCTATATACGAATCATGGATTTCAATCATATGGCCACACAAGGTCTTTGGTCCTGGGTGTGATAGAAAGCAAGAAAGAAAGAAAGAAAGAAAAAAACGAAAGTAATCGATTCGATTCAAATCGATTTGAAATTTGATCATCATGATGATGAAAAACAAGCATCGAATAAAAGAATAGTCCATTAGTCAGTGTGTGTGTGTGTGTGTAACCATTGACACCTTGTTTGTCAAAATATTATATAGCTCATTAGCTCTAAATAAAGTTTCTCCCCTTTTTTTCCATGTTCCAAATTTGAAACTTTTCTTTTTTTCTTTAAATCATTTCATTTCATTCTTATTTACGCAATGAATATTTGCCCTTTGAACATATTTTTCACTAAACAAAAGCGAAAATAAAAATCAGGGCATTTATTTTGTGGTTGTGGTTGTGTGTGTGTGTTTTTATTTTATTTTTCCATAATATTCATTTGATTTTCATCATTATTATGATGATGACGATGTCCAAAATTGAACTATCTCTTTTTTATGTATTTTTTGGGCCTTGTCGAAACATTCAAAAATAAAAAATGAATAATATGAAGCCAATCTGTTGTTCCAACTGATTATTATATTGTTTGATGATCTTAAAAAAAAATGAGAAACCATTTGAACCACTTTTCAAAACATTGTCATCCGTCATTGGCATTGAATTCATAGAAAGTCCGGCGGGCATTTTTTTTTTTTTTTTGATCGCTTTGGAACACACATATGCAACAAAAACAAATAGATTCGGTTGTTCATTGCATTTCATTGTTTATTATTATTATGTGGCTTCTCCCTTGACTTGAACTCTCTTTGGGTGGTTTCTCCACCAACACCACCACCACCACCACTACCTTATATAACTTATCATCATAATTGGGTGTGTATGTTTGTGTCTGATACTGATAGCGATGATAACATTAATGCATCATTAATGAGCGTGTAGCTAAAATAAAGTTAATCAAAAATTAACGATTATCATACACAATGGAATTTATAAAAAAGCTAAAGTTGTCAAATCACTGTAAGCTCTCTGTATGTTGATCTGTTGTCCTTTATCTTTGGTTTGAACTTAACTTTTTTTTATATTTTGTTTTGTTTGTGGAAATTCCGTCATTGCATCATCATCATCATCATTCATCACTATTTGTTGAATTATTATGACGACGACTACTACTTCTATATAAAAGCCACATAATCTTGTTAAAAAAAAATTTTTTTTTCTGCCAAAACGGAAAAAGCGCTTTTCATCGATGCTTTTGTATCTTTTTTTCTGATGAACGGATGGAATGAATAAATGAATGAATATGCGAGTTTCCTTTTAATCCGTTTACTGTTTGTTCGAGTATAAAAGCATTATTATTTTTCTTCTTTCTTCTCATTCTTGGACAATAGTTTTATTATATTGTTGTATTGAACTGTCTGTGTGTGTGTGTGTGTTAATATGTGGACAATGTACACATTGATGATGATGATGATGATGGTGGGCATCAAAATAATATGGAGAAAGTGGATCTCTTTTTTTTCTTGGTCCATTCATAATGGCATGATGAAGATGATGATGATGATGATGATGACAGCTGACGATTCAAATTGTCATTCAAATTTTAACCGGAATTTTTTTTTGTTAAAAATAAATTTTTTTTATCCATTCTAAATCCATGTGTGTGTGTGACTTTTCACTTTCATTCAATAAATTTTTTTCATCATCATCATTCTCTATAAATATAATAATGATGTGTCCGATATATTGTGTATGTGTGCTATTCTGACTTAATTTTGTTTTTTTTTTCATATGGGAAATTAGTTACCGGATTTTTCTATTCATTTTTATTGATTGTTTGCCTGTGAGTGTGTGTTTGTTAATCCAAGATTTTTTTTTTTTTTTGAAATGAAAATGTCTCAAGTTCTTGTGATGTGGTAATTATTATCAAGACAGGCAAAAAACCATTAAATCTTTGCTTTTTCAAACTTTTCACTAATGAAAAAATGATGTGATTGTGTGTGTGTGTGTGTGTGTTTCAGCAAAGAGTTTATTTATTTATTCATTTTTTTGAGAAAGAAATTCGCTGGACAATCGTTTGGCAAAATTGGCAATTCAATTGACAAATTTAGATTTGAAATCATTAGATTTTTTTTCGCTTTATATCAAGAGCTTTGTTTCGATCCAAATTCAATTTCGTTATTATTAATTCCAATGAAATTTTTTTTTTCTTGAGAAATTTGGCCATCAAATTCAAAAAAAACCGGACTAAGCTATTTGGATTAGATTGACTAGCTGCTGCTGCTGCTGCTGCTACAATGACAATAGCAATGACATTATATCATCTATACACACACACGCACACACACTAAATTCAATAGTGATGGCAAACCTTGGCCAATTTTTTTTTCTCTTTTGTTTTGACAAATCCTCATTGCAAACAATTATGTTTTATAATTTTCAGCTTGTATTTATCACTGATCTATATATATTGAAAATCCGATCACCAATGCATGAAAGAAAAAAAAAGACTACACCTTAAAACATTGGACCAAAAGTGGACAACAGATTTTTTATTTTATTAATGATAACAAAAAAAAAATAAGAATCAATAGTGTTGACAAATGATCGGATCAAAAAATAAAGCCATGGCTTCTATCATCACTTGAATTTTGTTTTGTTTTTTTTTTGCTTCCTGGGTGTTTACGTTTTTTTTTCATCACTGTGAATAATGTACATTTAGATCTGATTAGATTGTTGTTGGTGATTGTAATCAATTGTAATTGATTAGGTATTATACAGGTCGTCCATGTTATATATCGTCCATTTGTCTGATGATTGATACATTGATTTTCTTCAATCATATTACAAGATTTTATCTGTTACATAATAAATCAAACAACAACAACAACAGCAATAAAAATTATTACCACAGACAATGAATAATTACATTCCATTTTTGCTGTTGTTGTTGTTGTTGTTGTTGAAAACTTTATTCATTCATTCATCGTGGATTGTGTTACTAATCATCATGTTTTTTTTTGTGTGACGATAATAAGATTTGTTTGTAAGCCGTTATCAATTTTTTTTGTTGAAAAATTTTCAAATAAATGTCTGAACATCAT